ATTTCCTACACGCCCGCCAACCCTCGTAGCGTACTACGTACTGCTGGTAGGCTGAGTTAGGGAAGCAATTTTACGAGCGATATGAACGTTTACCTGTTATGAAATAAGCTCAAAGATTGTTATTCAATTATTTCATTTAAAATATGCAAATAAATGTAGATACAGAGTTGTTATGGTAGAAATGTTGAAAAAAAAAATCAATCGTACACTTGAATCATTTCGTTCGCATTTTCTTGGTTTCAGTCTGTCTCGAGCGGGGGATTTGCATTGCTAATCTTACTTGGAAAAATGGTTTAAATTGTGTATTTTGTTGTGTGACTTAATGTAATTATGAATTTGTAACATTTCATACAATTTTAATTTCATCATCAATCTCGTTCTATGCCGCAAAAATAATGGAAATAAATTATTTCATCAATATTTTTACTAATTTTCTCTGCATTTTTTCTTCTTCTTTCCGTTTACAGTTCAAGGCATGAGGATTTGTGTATTTTGCGACGAAGAGACGACTATGGTAACCAAGAGCTTTTTAGATTTTCACCAAATACAATGTTCCAAACATAAAAACACAACACCAATTGACCGATTGTTCGATATGGAGCTGAAGACAAACGGATCGAATCTACACAACCAAATACCGAATCAATTTTCATGAAAATCATCACAGTTAGATCATCAAATACAGAGAGCTTGCCGTGTAACTCATCCAAAAATCAACTGTTCTAGATATTGTTTTTCTTCATATTGTTGTACGATGTTTCAGCCGCATACGGCACACACACACACATACATTGAGAATTGTTTGTTTTGCAAATGAACAGAAAATAATTCAACTTTCATTCAATCGCACGCATAAGGTTGTATATCATATTCAAAGAGAGAAAAAGTATACATAATAAAAGAACACATTCGATCCATTTCTCGTTAGTGAACTTTTTTCTCTAGATTATCATAAAACTGACAGAAAAAAATGCATATAAATTCAATAAACTCACAAACCAAAAAAAAAATTGATGAAGAAAAAACTATAATAAATAAAACACACTCACATTTTAACGAAAGTGAAGAAAAAAAAAACACAATCAATTGACAAACAAACCACTTAATTTTTTTTTCATTTTTGTTGATTTTTACCTATTATCATTATTATTATTATTCTTAGACCAATTATTCAATGTAGATAAATTTACTAAATATGTCAATATTAATTTTTATTTTATTTAAAATTGAAATGAAGTGAAATGAATGAAGAAAGAAAAACAAATGATGCAATATATAATTATGAATAAAGAAAAATTATTTGAAAACAAAATAAAAAGATTTACTATTAACCAATACTAAAAAAAAAATAAACATGAAAAATCATTATCAGTGTCAGATTTTGTATGAAAATGAAATTTAAAAAAATTGACAAAAAAATTTATCAAATCTTATTTATTTGAGATGATGACAAGAGACAAAAACAAACATTGGGAGATCAATCACGTACTTTCTTATCACTCTACATGCCCACACTTGTTCATGTACGCGATACGTAACATAGATAAACAAGAAAAGATAAGATAAACAAAAAAATGATGAAAAAATGTATGAAAAAAAAAACTACTGTGCTCCTTTCATATAAACCATAAACATAGCAAAAAAAATTCACCAAATCTTAACAAAAAAAAAAACATATATTTTAGATTTCTAAATTTTTTGTCTAAAATGAATTTGGAAGAGTCAAGAAAGAATCGAAGAAAATTAAGATTGTGAAAGAAATGGAAATAAAAAAGAAAAAAAAATCATCCAAAAATTTGTGAACACATTACATTTAGATTTAATAATTGATGAAGTTGTGGCGTATCTCCGCTCACATACACACACAAAAATTTAATAAATGAATAAAACATTTATGAAAATTGAAGTCATAATTAGCAAGTGAAAAAAACAACACACACACAAACAAAAAAAAATCATTGTAATGCATAAAATTAAGCGTAAATTTAATAAAGAAATCATTATAAAAATGATAATAACTATTTATTTACAAAAAAATAAAATAAAAGTAATTGTGTGAGAGAGAGAGAGAAAAGAAAATCCTTACGAAAAACAACCAATTTAACAAAAACAAAAAAAATATATAAAAATGAATATTTAACTAATAAAAATTGACAAAAAATGTGACAGATTACACAAAAACGCTATTTAACATATTTTGTGCGCGATGTGTGTTTTTACTAGCTAAAGAAACAAAAAGAATAAAAAAAACTCTATGGAACACATTTATGACACAAAAAAACCACATACACACATTTGAATATAAATACAGAAACATCATCCTCATCAGAGAATATATCTGTTTAAAAACGTGCAAATACAATTTATCTAAATAATAAATAACAAAACAAAAGTAGTGAAAGTTTTCTTTTCCTTTCATGTTGATAATATAAAAATAATTGTTTTTTTTTGTTTTCTAATTCGTATTATACTTTTATTTGATGTCATCGTTGAAACAATTTTTTTGTCTGTTCGTTTTTAATTGGTATTATTTTTATTTTTGCCCTTTTTTCTGTTTTATAGATTATAATAATACAAGAAAAAATATACATACGTACTTGTGTGTACTGCTAAAGATGAACCAGTTTTATTCAAAGACAGCAGAATTTATTTATGTATACAAAAATTACACACACAAATCTATGTTTAATTATCGAATATTATGTTCATTATGTACATACGAGAATTGAATTGAATAAAACGTGAAAAAAAAATTACACCAACACATTACTTTTCAAATTTAATTCGCTGCAATAGATGGAATAAAATAAATTAGGAAAAACTCCTCGATTCGCCTCTATCTCTCAATTTCCATGGCAATATCATACTAACATATGCTTTTTTCTTTGCGAAACAACCATCGCATTTATCATATATATAAAATGAGCTCAACACGATTGAGCGAGAGCAATAAAACCGAATAAAAGAACCAACCAAAAACTACACACACACACATACACTTCATCCCGAAAGCATATAAATATTCAATGTTTTTGAGCAAAAAAAAACTTCAATCCTTTTGTCATTTAGCTCGTTAGTGCATATATATACGTTTTTAGTGTTGGCTTTTTTCGTTCGTGCATTATTCATTGATAATAAAGAAGAAATTACAATTTTTTTTAGTTCTATATTTGTTCGTTCAATTTAGTGCAAATATTTTCTCCGGTCGTAAATTGTCATTCATTTTCAATGAATAAAACAAACTAGTTTATGAATATTTATACTAATTTAAACGTAAACCATACAACTGAGAAAAAAAAACGAAAGTTTTTTCTTTGTCAATGCAAAACATATACAAAAACAAATTGTGTAAAGTAAATGATATATCGATTTAATGAATCCGAAAATCACTGATTTAATTGAGTTACAGATGAACAACAAGAAAAAAACATTGTTTAAAATTGAAAAAACAAAACAAAAAAAAAACATGAAATTTGAAAAATCTAGTAGCTTATGAATCATAATAAATATTATTAGAAACAAATCCTGGAAGCATGATGGATGGCAAATGAATACATGAATAATAACAAAAAACCAGCTACAATCACAATGTAAATCTGTAAAAAAATGAGAAAAACCAAATAAATCACCTTAGAGTTGAAAAATTAAACATAAAACCCGTTGAATTTCAATGCATGTTCCGTGGCTCAATGCAATGCGATGCACAAAAGGCTGACGTTTCCTTTTGATCTGCATCATGTTGCTTGTTTTTCAGGTCAAAAGCCATAGTCACCTGTGACTTGTGCGGTTAGTGTGCATCACAATTTTTTATAGACTACAAGAACAGCAATATTCATTTACTGGGAAAAAGAGGTAACAACAAAGAGCTTTTTATTATTATTTATGAGCATAACGTTTTTTTGCAGCTTGTAGCGAAAAATAACACCTTTAATTTGAAATTGGCTTTGTTTGACACATAACAAAAGAAGCAGCAACCCATTTGCAATAGTGGCGTCAAGTAAAAAAAAAACAACGAACAACAATAATTCAGATGAGCTATAATTGACATGCCAACATTATTATAATTAACACTGAGCTTCCGAGAATCCATTTTCTATACATCATTCACTATCACTTGCCACATCTGCGCCGTTATTGTTCGGTATTTGTGAATTTTAACACACACATGATTAGATCAATAAATTTTTAATTATCTTCATTACTTTCATCATATCTGCCACTATGGCAACGCCGTTGATGTATAGCAATCCATATTGATAGCTTTTGCACAGAGTTTTGGTAATTACAAAGCCTTTTGTTCATAAGAGGTATTCTCCAAGTTAATCGATGAATATATTATGAAATTTGATTTTATCTTGTACATGAGGATACTTTGATGAGATATCCCCAACACATTTTCAATACAAAGTTATAGATTGTAAGTTGTAATTGTAAATTTCTGCACATGGCTCTCTGAAAATTCTATCATTTAAATTTTTTATTAAAAAAATATTACAAATTAATGTATTAAATACTTTTTGACATTGTAATTTTGTAATTTCATGCTTCATTGAATTTAGTGCGGTTCGATGGATGCAAATTGGAAATAATATTTCTCTATGTCAGTTGTTCCCATTTGTGGTTTTTTTTTTTAATTTCAGTTTTCAATGCATATTTATCGATTTTTGCATACCCTGCAAATTATTTGCGAATGAATTAAGCGTGAAATCGAATTGAAAATGAATAAATAACTAAGCATTTAACGTGGTTTTTGCAATTTCAAATGATAATGTTATCAGGGACTCTTTTGTGACAAATTTAGGATACACTAAAGAAATCAATACGATTCAATTCAATTCCCATTCAACAATTTGTTATATTCTGTTTACAATTTTCCCATACTATTTTCATTTTGTTGTAGTTTTTCCACTTGTATGAAATAACGACAGAAAAATTAAGAAAACGAAATGTCATTTTTTGTTTATAGAATATGTTTTTATTAATTTTTATTTATCGATTGAATGGTTTTGTTTGGTTTGATTAATTTTGACTAAGATGTGTTTCTTGTTTGATTTTTATTTTCTGCTTTATAATCTAAGATCGTTGGTCATTGATTTTATTCATGTTCCTCATCGAGTAAGAAAGAACATAAAGTATGAAAGTCTGAAACACTTAATTTGATTCAATGAGACGTTACATTTAATACTAGTTTGTAATATTTGATGATGTAATGATTAAAAGCACCAAAGGCACATAACTTTGCTTAAACTTTATAAAAAGTAAAACTATGAATTAAACCGCGTAACACACGTCCATCGATCGCAGTGGTGTCGTCGAAAAATCTTACAACAATATTTGGCTGTAAACGTATTTCCGGATACATTTGTACACGGGTGCAACATTTTTCAATATCTAATAACATATTGAATCGGATTTCATATAGAAAACCAGGTTTGAGAAGAATTGGTGTTGATAATAATATCATTGGTTCATATTGATGAATTTCTAAACTTTGAAACACGATTTCGTCAGTAGACGTTGCCGAATCAACCAACTTTGTTTGGACAATTGTCATCTTAATTGCAAAAGTTCCGGCGAGTGAATGGTATGCATTATTCTTATAATATAATATGCGATCATATTTGAAACCTGAAAATAATAGCGGTTCATTGGTCGCGAATTTGGTAACTTCCACCTGTTTAATGTAATATGGCCGTGGTGACGACCACTGACTTGAAATTTTGCGAGAACATTCAACCTTGTTAGTTTCATTCAATTTAAACGGTTTTCGATGATTTCCGTTCAATAATTTCGGCTGAACATTTTTCTTCGCGATCATTTGAATGATTTCTGCATTCTCAGCAAACGTGTAAAGGTGTCCGTATGTTGGGTATAGACCTGCAAAATCATCAAATGACATTGATCGATAGCGAATTTCGTAGAATAAATCACCAATATGAGTGGAAACACTTTCTTTCGTCAGAGTGAGGCTCTTACTTGCAATTTGAACCCAAGCCATTACCGCATCAAACAGCTCTGCCTCAGTACAGGACAATGTATTCATTTTCAATATGTAGCCGATAATTTCTTTGTCATATTGCAAAAAGTCATTCGACGATAAAATTGCTTTTGTATCGATGGCGATCATTAGTTCACAAAATGATTTCAAACAATTTTGGTTGAAGCGAATAGCAAGTTCGTAAGCCAAAAAAAGGTTGTCATAACTAAGATTTTGGCGCAAGTACTTGGTACACACGTTCATACATTCACTGATATTGTATTTATCACCGAGATACATGACTTTATCGATGTTATCCATTGTCAATTTAACTTTTGACAAGTAAAAGAACTGCAAGAACTCTTCGAATGCAGCTGCCGGAGCATCAACAATTTTAACTTCATTCTGTTCCGGCCAAAATTCAGTGAACATTGCTGCGAATACATCACTTGCGGTGGTCAACAACAGTTTATGCGCAGGAATTCGTTTATCTTTACCATCGGCCAACTTGGCCACAAAATGAATGTCAGCACTTTTCTCATTCAGATACAGTTTGACACCAATATTTGAGTGTGTTGTAACTGCGTACACATTCATGGCTAGAATGTGTTTGAATGCAGAGATATTTGACATTGGATGACGAAAATTGGTACAAATTTCTGAAATAGCAGAAAGAGTAAATTATCAAGAAATTCAGAATAAATCAAGTAACTTAATTTTATTTTCTTACAATCGGAAATGAAAAACACGTTGAGATTGAGGTTAGATTTCGGTGTTATGGTTTTCGCTCACTGAGTGATCCCAATCCAAAACAAAAAAGAATGAAACGAACTGATTAAAAAAAATTTTACAATCGTCAAACTATAAAATACATCATAAACACTTGGCTGTACGTTAAAATTATTTAATTCATTCCAATTCCCTTACCAAATTTTTTCTCTTTCAATATATTTGTTCTGTGTGAATGTTGCTATTGCTTTGTCGTTGGAATTTTCGACCACTTGACGCAAATATTCTTGTGTGAGTAAGGGTCTCCATTTTGTTTCGCATCATCAACACATACTCAGTGAGAGCTCACACTTGGTCTTATTATTGGAGAATTCGGATTTGAGATCCACTCTTTCCAAGATGCAATAAATACATGCAATTTCGTTTACCAATGTCCTCTACAACAATATCCACAAGATTTCTATCAAAAACACAAAATTTAAATAAAAAAAACTAAACATTATTTTTTTGTTTATTGGAGTAGAATTTTTCAAGACATTGTTTGCTTTTATTTGTGTTCTTAATCAACAGCGACGAGTCTCCAATAAACAATGCCAAATGTCATATTTGTTTATGTTTTGATTCCTATCATCAATACGTTTGAACACAAGACATTGATATAACGATGCCAATGTATTTACTAAATACTATTTAGTCGTATGATAATGTGGTGAATTTTTTTCACTTTCACATAAAATATGCTGATGGATGTGTTATTTGAGTAAAATTACGTAGGAAAACTGTCCCTGAACATTAAATTGTTAATGAATTTTAATCGAAATGTGCATAACATTTTCTGTAAAAAAAAACCCTAAATCCAACAGTTATAGTCCAGTATGTTTCATTAAATATGTAATGAGCATATGCCCACACATCTGGTAACATATGTCCCACTGGTTTTGAGACAAATTCAAACGAATGCCATTTGAACACCAAACAACCAAATTGAAATATTCTCTTCATGATAGTTTGCTTTATTCATAATCTATCGAAAAACACATTTACAGTACACTGAATGGACCATTGTCTTCGATTTTTCTCAGTATGCGTCGAACCTTCAAAATCATGCTTTGGCAGACCGATATGTCAATTTCTTTCAACTTTCTCTCAATCCATCCAACCAATTGTTGCACGTTTCAAGTATTTTGGACCTTCGCCTATAATATACATCCAAAAACAGACGAGAAATAATTAATTTGGTGTCTTTTTGTGAAGTTAAAAAGATGGTCACTTTTTTCATGGAAATGCCATTTTTTAAGAAGTGAGCCATTATTGTGATTTTTTCTGCTTGCAAGGCACAATTTTATCTTTAATCAGATAGTTCCCAACGACTTCTATCGATTTTAATAATATTTGGTTGATAATGGAGCATGGAATGGAGGTGTTACCTTACGTTACAGCACTTAATGTTCGAATAATGGCTCTAAGACACCTTTCAAAGAAGATCCTACCATACAAACACCCGTTTATCAAAGTTCGGTTTGTTGACGTCTCTAACCTTATATAGTAGTGCCCCAACATAATCAATGCAAAAGAAACCACTTGCATTTGATTCATGGTTCGATTTGGCGATGAATGTTTCACTATCCAAAATGATGAATCTTTCAGTGCAACATGCTATAGAGTGAAGTAAACATCCAATTTTTGACACCCTTTGTAATTTTTTCGTAACTTATTTTGCTGATTCCTAATGATCGTGTCTAAGTCCGTTGTTTTGGTTCAAATTTGGATGTGCTGTAACCATAAAAATCACCAAAAATGAATTTTTGCTTGACCAACCCGGTTTTCGGTACTTGATGACAATTTTGAAGGGTTTGAGCATTTAAATTGGGAATACGACCGTACTTTTTGCATTCTCTAGAATCTTTATATTCATACTAAGTCCATGAAACACGATACATGGTTCGAAGACAGATTGGTTCATTTTTAGACACATGCAGAATTTGTTTTGAACTTAGCTCGCCAAAACCATTTGAGACAGACTTGCGCAAATCCAATTTGTACGCCATCGCGAATGAATATATTTGAATAGTTTGTGTTTGACAGTAAAGCAGAGGTACCGTTTTATGTGCTATGTGCTGGGTTGACATATTTGCGTTTGTATATGGAACGCAATAAACGCCTGAATTTAGTCTCAAAACCAGTGGGACATATGTTAATGCTATCAAATTATTTGCACTTTCATGACAAGTTGTACAACAATTCCACAAAAAAGTTAATAAAAACATTGGGTGATCTTGTTCTCTTCGGCACACATGGAAAATGGTTTAAATCGTATTTTTGTTTGCTTTACATGGAAAACACATTAAATCGGTTTGGACTTCATATAAAAAAAATGTCAACAAATCCAACAAAATTATTTTAACGAAAATGTCATGATGTGCTTTTCGTGTCATTTGAGCACATAAACCGTTAGTTTTTAGGCTGCAAAATATCTCACAAAACAATATCCTGATATATGTAGCAACATGGAGATAACATAGATTCGTTTAAATGTGACACGCAAATGAAATAGGTTCAAAGAACTGATAGAATATAATATGAAATAGCAACAGCAACACTGTAAAGCCAATCATCAAATCTTTTTTTTTTTGTTCATTGGTTTTTCCACTCTAATTGTTTTGCTTTGTTCATTGAAGTCAATCTATCGATTACATAACCGTTCTTATTGCGCAAATCGAACACTAATTAGCTTAACCCCATCATTGTGTAACTTATTATTTATCTATTTTTAAATGCAATGTAATTTTTCCTGCATTTTTTGGTTACCGCGGGAAAGAGTTTTATTACCATTTATTTTATACGGCTGAAATGAAAATGCGATTTCAAACGAGGATGAGATATGATTATCAGAAAATAGTATGGCCGCCAAGGGTCATTTCCCCAATACATACTTTACGTGAATATAAATGACTAAATTTTTTTTCGATAAAATCTCTGATGAATCTGTTATTTTTGGATGCCAACTACACAGAATAAATATGGTTAACCGAAATATCTTTGGGAATATCGTTGTTAAATTATTAAATCAACATGAATGTTTGATGTTATGGTATCACATAAAATGGCCATCATCCTGTTGATGCGATGTCGAGATGTGGTCAGTGTCGTAGTAAAAGGAAAGTTTTCATTGCTGAAAAACCGCACGTGTCTATAGAAATACCATCGAATAACTGAACAAACTGAACTTTAATCTTCTGTGGCGATGGAACTATATAAATAGAATTGGAGATGGATAATGGAAAATCATGTACAGACATATATTCTTCAAGTAAAATTTCACATCTCTCACTCAAAGTTTCATATTCAAACGAAAAATACTTAATCTCACATATTTGGTTTGGATTCATTTTCATTCCATTATAACTTCGAAATATTCTTTATGTACACATAACTTAGTGTATTTTATTTGTTGAGCATTGGCAAATTGTAGAGTCATCCTTCCTTTTTTTATTTGTTCCCAATTCAACTTCGGATTTCTTCTTTTAATTTTGATTCCTTTCTTTCTTAAAATGCATGGTTTATTATAATTTATATGGGCTGGTAACTCAATTTGATCGTTTGTCCATAATAATTTATCAAAAAAAGAGTTAATGGTTTAGATGACAATCTTATATTTGGTGTTCGATAAAATTCTTTCAAAATGACAGGCCCTAATGGTAACACAATAAATGTGGTTCATATCCGAATAACAAGTATTAATATATTCAATTACAATTTTGTTGTCACGCTGAACGTACGCTTGAAGAAAAATGTTGTGGCACCTTCTTCTCTTGTTTGGCATCATCCAACCATTTTCTTGTGTCGAAAAATATCCGTCATTCCGAAAAGGTTTCGGTCGAAAAGTCACTGTTGCATTATCAGAACGGAAACCATTTGCGTTCCTCGATCAAAATGGTTCACCAAATGGCTTGGACGTGATGATCCTGGAAAACTTTGCACGAAAATTCAACCTCAAAATTGAATACGTGATTATGACCACGTCATTGAATTACATTTTTGCTGATCCAGAAAATCTACATGCATTTTCGACTGACATTTATTCGACGTAAGTTGATTGTTTCAAATACATTCGAATAAATCGATAGACACTTAAAATTCATAAATACTTTAAAGAGATGCTGATCTATTCATTGGTGGTTTGGATGAAAATTTACTAACAAAACAACGTTTCGTCGCTTCGCGAGCTTATTCTCACGATAAATTAACATGGTGTGTGCAATCAAATCAGCCAATACCAGTTTGGCAAAATTTATTCCATTTATGTCGCGATCCAGTCATTTTGTTCGGAATAGCAGTGATGGATATTGCAATTGTATTCACGGTTTATTTTTTGCAACAATTTGATCATTTTCAAAAATGGGACTGGACCAGAATTTCAATGGCCCTATTATCGGTTGCGTTCGGTGGTATTGCAAATCTACATCCAAAAATTTTTCCGTTTCGTTTATTCTACGTTGCTGGAACTTTTGGCAGTTTGGTATTTACAACAACTCTTATTTCGTACATACTGTTGTTTATGAAGAATCCAATTTACGATACCCAAATCAAAACCATACCAGAAATTGTTGATGGCAACCGATTTGAATTGATTGGCGATAGTTTTGCGTTTGAGCATCTTTCTCGACAAAATAAGGTAAGATTAACATTTGGCTCGGAACATGTATTAAATATATTTTGTTTTAAATTTCTCACCAGACATATTCGAAGGAAGTGCTTCAATACTTTAAAACTTGCGATCAGTTAGATAAGTGCTTGAATCAACTCCTAAGTAATTCAAAACTGGCAGTAGCCATTTCGCATGAATATTCAAAACACACCCACTTAATTTCAACAAAACAAATTTATTGCTTCGAGAGATCAGAAACTATTTATAATTATGCCACGACATTTTTGATGGACAAGAATTTTCTGTTTTTAACTGAATTGAATGAATTTATACAAATGTCAAGCGCAAGTGGACTCATCGATAAATGGCATTCAGACGGAATTCGCATTGCATCTAAACGCATTAACATGAATGACGGCCAATTAAAAATGAAACATTTTTATGGATTACTTATTATTTGTTGTATTCCGATTATGATGTCAATTTTTGTATTTGTATGCGAAAAAATTGTCAACAAAAAGATCAAAGAACCGAATACGTCTCGGGTTTGGCTGTTCATTGAAAAGCTCATTGATTCAGAACGACACTTTTTACTTGGAAATAAGAGTTTTTGAAGCAAATATTAGAAATTACAACACAAAATTGCCACTTATCTGCATTTTTAATCTGGGATAGAATCAAATATATTCAAAACATTTATTGCAATAAATAAATAAATATGAGAATGAAAAATTATGTCACTCAATATTTTGTGGATAGATAATAATTTCATATCAAAGCGGATTGAGTTTATTATGCATAGTTTCAATAATTGTCAGCAGCAGATTTTCTGTCAAAAATACACAATCCTTTGAAAAATGTCCAAAACAATTATTAATTTAGATTTATAGAACCGCCCTTAATATAGAAATCAAAAAGAAATTACTCAATTAATAATGAATAATAAATCATTCATTTCATAATGGCAACCTATCAGAAATCAGAATCTAGAAATCAGAAAAGAATTAGACAAAATAAATGGTCTTACGAACGTAAGACGAACTTTTCCGCACTGTTTAACTTTGACTTATTTTTGAAACACTTTTCATAACTAAAGTCACAAAAAATTTGGAATTTTGTATGGGAGCCATGTCTGTATGCTACCTTAATGGTGTGAAACTTTGCACAGGTTGTTTTTTCACAAAAAAATAACATTCGGAGGGTTTGGAGAAATTTAAACCAAAATTAAGAGTACCTCCTATGCAAAATATTCGTTTTTGAGCCAAAAACTGAAAATGTTGTATGGGAAGTACCCCTAATTTTGATTGAAATCTCTTCAAACTTTCAGAATGTTATTTTTTTGTGTAAAAAATAGACTGTGCAAAGTTTCACGTCATTAAGGTAGCATACAGGCATGGCTTCCATACAAAAATGCAATTTTTTTGTGATTTTTTCAAGGAAAATGTATCAAAAATTGATTGTATCTCAAAAATAACGTCGGATTCGGTTTTCTCGTGCCAAAAAACCCCCCAATACATATTTTTGAGTGTTTAAGTCTACATTAAGTATGACTTCTGGACCAAAATTGGACTCTTTTTCATAGGTATCACTACAGGCATGAATTTTTTTTCCATCAACCAAAGTCGCTCAAAAGCTAATGATTTCTATTCCTCGGGACCCCCAATCATCCTGTAAAGTCAGATTTTGAATTAAGTTTCTACGATGAGCGCAATCTTGCTAACAAATTTTGCGTACGACGTACAACGTACGACGTACGACGTACGACGTACAGATTAACATAAACCATGCTCAAAACGGCCTGATTCGGGTTCTCTGACCTCAGAAACGTCCAGAAAACATGTTTCTGAAGTTTTCAAAATTTTGACCGATTACAATACTTTTCACCTTACACTATGTGTGCGGAAAAGTAATATTGAATAATAATTTGAAAAATGTACACAATTTTGATCGAAAGATAACTGTTGCACTATCAGAACGAAAAACATTTGCGTTCCTCTATCGAAATGGTTCAAATGAACACAATCAATTTTTCAAAATTACTAAATTTAATTACGGCAGCTCAAATCTATTGCTTTGAGAATTCAGAAACCATTTACGAGTATGCCGCAAAGTTATTGGTTAGCAAGGACTTTCCATTCTTGAGAGAGTTGAACGAATTCATACAAATGACCAGTTCAAGTGGAATTATTTAAAAATGGATTTTGGATTATCACATTCGAATCTCAAACAAAACGATTAATAAGGCCCACGAGCAGGCTCGAATGAAAAAATGTATGGATTATGTATTGTAGCAACAGAAACTCGTCTCGCCTTTGGCGATTCTTAGAAATGATAATTGACCCTGATCGATATTTTTTGCTTCGATCGCTTCGATTGTATTAATTTAAGCCAAACTATATGGATTTTGTGTGTTAAAAGTGAATATAAATATATTTGGATTGTTGAGAATCCGAAATATAATAGTTTTTATTATATTATTCAGTTAATATCATCAATCATATTTGAAAATTTGGAGAAAAAAGAGATTTTTGATCACAATAATATATTTAAAAATAGAATGGTTTAAACGAAGACAAATAGAAATGAAATCCTAATGTTATGCCTTTATATTCATGATATTTTCTATTTCCATTAGTGATCCAGAATAAAATTCAATGTTCAAAGTAAAAATTTGTAATACCTAACGCCATAATGGAATAAGAGTTAATAAAGATAACCGAGTCATCGTTATTGCAATCAAAAGTTGTTTCTAAATGCATTCTGTGACACACTCCATCACTCTTCATTATAATAAATTTGTATCTACTAAAGCCATATCAGACCTAACTATTTTCAACTATAAAATGGTGATTTGAAATTGAAAGTCTGTCGGAGTCGAGATATTCACATCCGTTGCTATAGTTTAAGTTGAGCGGCTCAATGTTTAGATTACTTTTTTTTATTCATCGTATTTCCATCAAATACGACAGCATCAAGTTGAAATTTCCATCTAAATCTATAGAAAGTACATATTCACATGATTTTGTGGTTTTTATTCGAGAATTCCATGTCAATTCATGTTCAACTTGTCACCGGTGATGGAAAGAGGATGAAATATATTTGTTGTAGCCTCAACTAAAAGCGTTCGAAATTGAAATGTTAATTTAATCCCTTTTCACATAAATAAACCTATTCCCAATATTTTTCGATTATTTTTTCCGATGGCCATTCAATCACATTGCAGCACTGAGGATGATTTATTGTATTTAATATGGGGAAAATGCAATATAAACATTTATGCACTCAACCTACGAAAATAAATGAACGCATATAACTTTTGATGCGCTTACATGTGTTCTTATGTACTTACAGTAGTTCAATGTCGAGGCAAAAATCGTTTGAAATTCATCGAAATACGTAACAAGTGAAACGACTTAACTGAATGGATGGTAACATATTCAATAAGAAAACAACGGAAGCTTGAAATAGTGCCAACATATGCTCAACCACACGTGAAGAACAAAAAAAGAGATTTTTCCTCGTGATTATTGTTTTTGCAACATACTTACAATCGACAATATATTGCCTTTAATCACCAATTATCATTTCTGATAGACACATTTAAATTAGAAGTTGTAATGTATAATAACGAGGTTTTCTTTAATTTAAATATCAATTTAAATAAATATACATTTGTCTTAATAAAAAATGACTCATTATTATGAATGACATTATTATATTCCCGGAATGCTTCGTTTTTTAATCAATTCTTCCATGAAATATGCGGATTTTTTAGGAATTCGTTCTTTCCGCGGCGATGACATGTTAACGAAAAACATTCCGAATTTTTCACTAAAATGAAGATAATTCATTAATTTTGTAGGAAGAAATCAATCTATTCAATGGTCTTACGTGTAGCCTTGACTCCATTCGAAATTATCTACCAGAGACCATACTAAAAAGCATAAATGTTAAAAACAAAGTAACAAAAATGTATGTAAAGAGGTCGCACCTGAAAATGCTTTGACGTTGCAACCGTTATTTAAAATGACATCCAAAACTTGTTCCAAGTGATCATGAAAATAGGTGACGCGACTGTCATCTTCAAGCCTATCATCATCAGACCAACCATTCTCAGTGATTATTACTTCTGGATTATTATATTCCGCTTTGATCCATCTTTGGTCGAATACGGTATGAAATATTATCGTAATATGTTTTCAAAAAAAAAAAAAAAAATATTGAGAAATTGTGAATGCACCTTAAAAGATCGCCAAGTCCTTTTGGAACCGAATATAACCAATCTGATGCACCTTTAATCCATTCAGGTTTTGTAAATCTTTCATTTCCCCTGTCGCGTGCAACTGATGGGTTCTCACCAATTGGTTCCAATGATTCTCGAATGTACCGACTTGTATAATAGTTTAAACCAAAAAAATCAGACGTTCCTTGAATTGTCCTTTTCCAATGATTAGAGAATGTCGGTAATCGTGAAACCAAACGACCTTCCGCTTTGCTGTGGTTGGCAATACGATCAATCATGACTGCCGGATAGTCTCCATCGGAGCTGAAAATTGGGTGTGCTATCCAGCCTAGCTACGATTCAAAATAATTACACTCTTATCTCTGCTTTCGTTCGTATTATATATTGAACTCACCGTAAATTGCATCTCCCGATTCACTACCACCGTATCATTTGAATCGGAGTAAAAAAATGAAGAGTCAAGGGCGATTCCAACTTGACCTTTATACTGATTATAGTACTCGCGTTTATACAAATGATAAGCAACCGCATGTGATTTCAATGCATTATGCACACACAAATATTCGCCTTAAATATCAACCAAATTAACAAATTAAACAACTTCAATTCGATTGGATAAGACAGTTATAACTGTTAATTAATATACCTTTTCCGTGTGCATTGATGCCAGGTGCATGAATCTTTCCACCATAGCCCTTTACACAAAATTCTGCTGCTTCATTTATGGTAATCCAATACTTGACACGATCGCCGAACCGATTGAACAGTAAGTTTGCATATTCTTCAAAGTATTGAACAATGGCTGAATTTGCAAAACCACCCAATAATTGAAGGTGTGCTGGTAGATCGAAGTGATACATCGTCACCATTGGTTCGATTTTGTATTCGATGAGCTTGTTGATAATTTTGTTGTAATACTCGATGCCTTTTTCATTTACTTGTGTTAAATCGCCAGTTGGCAAGATACGCGTCCACGAGATTGAAAATCGATAAAAGTTCATCTAAATAATAAATGAGTAAGCTACTCAAATGAACTGAAACACAAATATATATTTTTTACATTTAAACTTTTCACTGCTTCGACATCGTCCAAATAATATTCATAAGAGTTGGCACCAACATCGCCATTCTGACGATCAACTATTTTTTCGGGATGCAAGTGAGTGAATTCGTCCCATATTGATGGTCCCTTACCATCCGAATCCCAGCCACCTTCAATTTGATATGCAGACGATGACACACCAAATAAGAAATTCTCCGGAAAATGTTGACTAGATCCATTTTTGGCAACTACTATTTCCACTCTAAATAATTTCAATAATTTACTTCAATTATTTGGCTTTTTTCAAAATTATTTGTGAATACTTGCATGAAAATGGTAAAAATATAAATTAATCTCGACAAAAACATATTTGCTTGTAATGTCGCTATGCCACTTTTTCTACTAATTCCATTGATTGGCAAAGCACATTTTCATAATCGTTCTTCAGAGTTTTTTTTTATATTCACAATCAGTGCGCTGATAAAACAAAGATGAACATATTGCGGCAGTTTTATTTTTTTGAAGGAAATAGGTTATCTGTATTAGATTATGACATGGTCATAGTTCAATGCTTCAAACGATACGTTTATTTTTTGTTGTTGTTTATTATGACACGTGTCGTATGATTCATAATAATGTTCGAGGCGCAATGCAAAGTGGGGCTTAGCTTCGAAGTTATCTTTTCATTATTTATCAATTTATTTTCTTCAAAAACATTACATCTTCAGACTCATGATATGGGTCGTCTCATTAGAGTACGATGGATCTCATTTAAAAGTGGGTTTTCGCTTGAGCAATCCCAAGCAATCAGTGGTGGTCATATCTTCCGATTCTTCTAATAAGAAGTGTCGAGGTGCTGCCTCTTCGCGGGAAACACGTAGAAATCTTCAAATAGATAGAAATAGTTTAATTAATTTATCATCTCATCGACACATTTTCATTGAGAAAACTTACACATCTTTTGCTGGTCGTTTTACTGTTAGTTGGACCAACAATTTTATTGGGTCTCTCTTTAAGAAGTCTTTTTTGTCAAAACTACTATCCTCTCCTTTCATGCTATGAAGATATTAATTTGGATTTACTGCTTGTTTTTTGGGCAAATTTTTTTTAATACTTACAAACTCTCATATTTTGCAAACCTGTAAGAATACAATCAGATCATTGTTACAATGTGACTTATATAAATTAAATTCAAAACTCACATGGTGTTAGTTAAAATAACCGTTATTCGTCTGATTAGCTTTTCTAAATTGGATAGTTTTATCATTATTATAAAGTCAAATGGTGAAAATTGAAAATCGAATGTACATTAAATCGTAGAGACATCCACAAGAATCCCTAAAAAGATATACGATTCGTGATGAAATAGAGAATAAAAACTAACTCTGGACCATAATCTTTATATCCACCCGGATGAATTATATCCTCAAAACTTATTAACTCGATTTTCTTCTCTGTTGCTCGAACAACATTGACGGCAATCTGAAATGATTATAAGCAATAAATTATTAAGTAATAAAGTCACCTGGACGAATCGATAAAGTAGATTGATAAAGAATTACAATTGTTAAAGCCGGCACCAAAGTCAAAGAGAATATATTCATCTTTGCTGTTTTCACTCAAAGTAAACTGAGATATACACTGAGTCTAATATTTTTGGTAGACAAAATTTAGCATGACACACTCCACTCACACGCCATTCGTATATAAATCCTATGTCAATGGAGAGTTTCTCTGCTTACTTTGATTGTTATTTTGTCTATCAAAAAAATGATAATTCGTGTGCTTTCTGAAGAGTCTTATATGCCAGGGATAAATGGCTGATGTAGATATGACAGGTGTAGAAAGTTTATTTATGCGGGTTTGAACTTCTTCAATAGCGATGCTTATATGTATAAATTTCATTATTTTCTTCGAAATTTGTCATTGAAGCTGTTTTTTTTTTATTTTCTACAAACAAAAAAAGATATCAAAAAGGTGACGTGTTTAGCAAAAAGTATTCGGTTGATAATAATTACATCTTGACACAAGTATACGAAAACAGTTGCCACGAATTTTCTTTATAAAATAAATGTTGGACTTTGAATAGGAGAATGTGTTTTTTCTTCATAGTATGGGGTTTGATACTTACAAACTCTGTGGGATCAATACAATATTTGCTTTTGACAAGTATTTGGGACATTATAGAAAAACTTTGATCGGTAATTTTCCACGGAAGTTTTACATGAGCTAAGCTATGCTTAGTTGAAATGGAAAAATTATTTAATTTGCTTGGAGATAATACCATTGCATGGGCATTTGAGGTGAATGATCGATCCCGCCCTTTCCGTCAAATTTTTTGCATTTTAACACACCTTTTGTTCGGCTCAATTCAAAAAATCAATATTATCTTTGTCATCCCAAATATTAAATTATTTTTCTATTTCTCATCCTCACTTCAATTTTAATTACGACGTACGACGGTTTTTAAATCGATTTTTTTTTTTCAAATTAATAAGATTAAACTCTATGTAGGATATTTAAGGATTTTTTTAAAATTGTTTTTGCATTTTTATTCATCGCTTCTCTCATTTGATATAGTTACCGTTTTCATTTAAAAAAATGTTCACAAAACCAGTTAATAAGTGGCACTTATTTAAAAAGAACTATTTTCACAAGCAATAGCAATTTGTAGAAGTATTTTTAGACATTTTCCAATGCTAAAGTCATATTCAAGTTTAATGAAGATAGAATTTTGAAAATGACATGAGACATAGATCATGTCAATGGATATATGTAAACAAATGTTAGGATTTTGGAAAAAAAAAGAATTTTTAGTTTATTTATAGCTGTATTTTTAAGTGACGATCGCTTTTTTACATGTCAATACAATATTTAATCATAGCCACTTTATTGTCCATTCATAAATGGTAGGAAGACGTTTAAAACATCTGAACAGCCAACAGAATCGTCTGGTTCAAGCAAGTAAACACGCAGAGCTGCTTCTTCGCGCGATACATTTTCAAATCTATGAATGAAAAATGATAATGAATTGATGTACTATTGCAATATTCTGCCGTGACTTACATTTCTCGAACTGTCTTGATATCGTCCTCTCTGTAAATTAATAATTTTGAAAATAATTCTGGTTATCTAGTTGAATTTATTCAAACTCACATATCCATTCTTCGTGTAGTCAAGTAGCATAAGAAGTGAATGGGATCTTTCATGAATTCAGTTTTCAACGCTTGTTTCGCACGATAATTCTCTTCTCCAGACAGTCTTTATATTTAGAGAAAAATGTTTATTATGCAATTTGAATGATTATAATCTATCACGATGTAATAATTAAACTTAAAAGTATACCTTCCGTTATATGTTACAAAAAGTGCTCTAAGAGACTCGACCAAAGTTTTGAAAGCTATTTCTGCATCACTTTCACCTGTGCCACGTTGGTTGGCCTTTCTAAATAACATTTAAAAAAAAAATATTCGAAATGAAAGAATGAAACCAAGCCTTAGCCAACTAGCATGTAAATTCAGCACTCGATTGCATTGCACTAAACATACTCTCGCACGTTTAGTGTCAATATCCTCGATTTTCATGCGAAATCATACAGTGTATGCCGCGAAACGCATTCATTTTTAAACATTGTGTTTCTCACTTTGTATCGTATATAGCCGCACATAGATCCTTGAATTCGTTCGAAGTAAGCCCAATATTTTTTATCGATGGGAGATTTAGCCTATTTTTTTCAAATATGGCCTTAGTTGTTTGATTTTGGAAACAATAGTGTTTCAGCCTTAAATGAAACGATTAAATTTGAAAATGGATTTGGACATAGAGTATTAATAATATGAAACCTTAACTTACATTTTATAAAATCTGTCGAAGGATCTGAAAAAAGAATATCAAAATGTACAGAACCACGATTATATCAGTAAAATACTAAATGAATTAATACCAACTCTTTATTGTATGTATTTGCTCCGATTATATCGTCGTAATTTTTCTTCTCTTTGTTCGCAAATTGGTCACAGGCAAACTGAAATTATACAATTATATACTTTTTTGAAGAGTTCCGAAATAAACACGATTATTGGAAATTACGATTGTTGAAATTATCATCAAAAGTATCACAATACTGTTCATCATTTTCACGTTCAAAAATCGAATCAGTTTGAAAAACGTAAACACGTTTTAAAGACTGAGAAAAAGTCTTTTCTCTCACCATATACAATTTAATTTAAACATTTTTGGCTCATTCATCATGCGCTTGATTATTGTTCTTGGAGATAATATTGACAAGATAATTAATATACTTGTATTTAAAATTCAACGAATTTTTATGAAAATGAGCGTAAAATGAGAGAATGTCTTCTATAAAAGAGAAAAATAAGAGATTCTATACACAATTTTAAAATTTAAGGTGCAAAAACTTTTCTTATTAATTTAAAAAAATAATAAAATTACTAATTACTTTCTCATTGGGACTCTTTATTTCAATCGATTTGTTGAGTTTCTTTTAAGTAAACAAACTTATTTACAGACGTACATTCCTGTAATACTATCGTCATCAGCATCTGATGAAATATGACGCATGAAAGATTTGGTACAATTAAATTCATATTCATTTGGCTTATAATGTAATCTTTATGGGGATTTTTTTTTGCCTACTATAGTTCGATTGTTATCCACGTTTTTCCGTCATACTTTTTTAGCCACAAATTGGTATTTTTATTTCCATTTTGTATATGACGTAGGTGCATCAATTTAATGAAATTCTTAGAATTATGTATCGCATGTATCAGGCCACTTTTAGTGGGAATCGATGTCAATTTTGAAGGCAAAGACTATTTTTTTTATTGGCAACATCCTTTGTCAGAAAAGTTATTATCTCCGCATCATGTGATATCATTGATTCTTAATAAACTACATTCTAGTTATTGATTCTGAATAAACTGCTGTAAGCTTTAAATTGTCAAAAAATGGTACATCTTTCAAATGTATATTTATAAATAAATTAATTCTTTTTATTGATAAAATATGCCACAAATTGATTATTCGAGTTATAGATCGGGGTACTTATCGAATATCGTTTATATTTGTATATTTAAATATCAGAATTTTTAAAGTCGATTGATCAACAAATGTATCGTAATATCCGAAGGCAACTGAAGCAGTCCACCTTATCATCATCATCATCCTTCTCTAGTATGTATGTGCGTAAAGCTGCTTCTTCTCGTGAAACATTTTCAAAACTTCAAAAAAAAGCAAATAATATAATCGCCATAGTAACTTAAGTACTTAAATCATGTCATACATATCCTGAATAGTACCGATGTCTTCCTCTCTATTTAATTTAAAAGATATTAATATTTCTGCGTCAATTCATAGTAAGTTTTATACTCACAATCCCAATCTTCGTTTTGTCAAACTGAGCAGGAATTTTATTGGATCCTCTTCGAATTGTTCTTTCAACATGGTTTTCGCACGACTATTATCCTCTCCGACTAATCTGTGCATTTTATAAAATATTGATACACTCAAAATCCACATAGAAACCAATAAAATCATTACCTTCTTTCATATGTGTCATATATTGATTTTACCGCTTCAAATAATGTTCTGAAAGCCAACTCTGGATCCGTCATACTAGTTACAGACTGATTTGCCTTTCTAGATAACATATTTAGTACATTTTATACTTTTATTTTGAAAAGTTCATCGAAAAGAATGCTCTTACTTCAAATCGTAAAGCACACCACACTTGTTTTTGAATTCGTTACTTGTATAGCTTATGTACTTCATTGACTTCTTATTGAATTTGGTTTTTTCAAATATGGCTTTTGTTGTTCCATTTTCGAAACAATATTTTTTCAACCTTTTGTAACAAGCATTCACAGTCATTATTATTTAAAGACATTGATATTTAAACATTTGAAATTCAAACTCACATTTTATGAAATCTCCCAAAAGATCTAAAAAAAACGGATAGATTACGAACTTATATCATTTGAATAAATAGAAACATATTGAAACTCACTCTTTGTCATATTCATTGGCTCCAATGATTTCATCATAACTCTTCATATCAATGTCCGCAAGAGCCATGTCAAAGGCAATCTAAAACACAGTAATTACGGTAATTATATCGTCAGGTTAAAATTGCAAAACAAAAAATTACAATTGTCCATGTCAGCGCAAATATTATTGGGGTTTTATACATCTTTATCTCCCTCACTTTGCAATCGTTCTATTTTTTATATTGTGAACAGGTTGTTTTTGTCGTAATAAAAATGCGTGGAATTTTAAAAATTACGTTATTTGTTTCCAAAAATGTTAAAATCGATTTTTATGACGAAATTCGCTTTTCTTCTCGAACTCACCAAGAAGAAACAACAAAGAAGTCGAACAATAAAATATCGCTACCAAAGCACTCAATTTGCACTGTTAACCTGGGGCATTCGCACCGTGCGTCAGTTACGAAAACACAAAGCAGAATAGGGAGCGAGACACGAAGAAAGTAGTGTATGTCATTCCTTGCGTCTTATTTGTAATTCCCCCTTTTCAGCTGTTTGCATGGCAAAGGCTGCTACGCTACATAACAAAAAGATGAGAAAGTGGAATAAAACATAAGACGCGAGGCACGAAGCGTATATGCAAATACATTACTTTCTTCGTGTCTCGCTCCGTATTCTGTTTCGTGTTTTCGTAACTGACGCACAGTGCAAATACCCCAGGCGAACAGAGCAATTTGAGTGCTTGGGTAATTGAACCGTCGCTTTTGCACAATCATTCGAATATTGTTTAATTAAAGATTCACGTCAAGATAAAACTTCATGAGATATTGTTTACTAACCTTGAAAAAATTGTCTTTTTTCAATAAGTTTAAAGAGCGTTTGACATGAAATTCATCAATTGTTTCAGTTTTGAGGATATGATTTTTATAAATTTTTATTTATGAAAAGTTTTTTAAACAATATTTTTAATACGAAAAAAATTGTTTTGCAACCATATAAAAATGAGCCAATAAATTTTCCTCATCAACTTGACGACGTCAAGCCTCAAATTAAACCAAATGCCATTTAATTACATTTACAATTTTTCTTTGTGTGTCTATTCAGAAGCAGAACAATACACATGTACGTGACATATATAATATATACTTGAATAGAATTGTTTGAATCAAAATTTATTAAAATAAAAAATGGTTTTTAAGAAATGCAAAAATTATTAATGTTATATACAAATGTTCAAGTATTTTTTTTCGTTTATTTCTTTTTATTGATCAAGCCCTGCTTTTTAAGTTGCCGTAAGGCACATTTGGCAGCGGTACATTTGGCAATACGATAGTTTCGTCCGATTCCGCGATAAGTCCCTTTGCCAAATACATCTACCGTAACCCTCACTCGTCGTCCGTCTGCCAGTTTCTCGGGTTTTCTGCATTTGAGAAATGATTGAATGAAATCATTGACTGAACCCAAAAGTTTTTAAAAATAAATTCAATTATTTTACCCAAATTTGGCAGTTTCCGGTTCAAGCTCCAGAAGTTCACGTATGGGAGACTTTGGAACTGAGTTGCTGAATTGATCTATTTCTGGCTGCATCATATTACTGTAAATCTGAACAAAAAACAAAAATATACACACCACTATATTTGCACAGCCTTTGTTAACAAATGAAAAAATTAATTTTACCTTCCACACCATGTCCAATGACATATTTGAATCTAAAAATATGGCACCAGCCACTGATTCAAATATGTCACCCAAAGCCTTTGGCACTTCCACATCTTCGGCTTCATCACACTCTTCTTCCGATATTAGATAAAACTAAAATGATAGGTAAACACATATTAAGGTCTACAATCATTGATTAGTACACAGTATGAAAGTCACCTCTTCACTTATGCTGTGATCGTTCTCGACTTGAATACGAACAAAGCGATCAATGACATCGTTGAGACCGGGCGATAAATGCTTAAAATATTTATGAAATCCATGACGGACTGCCAGCGATGCGAAAATTGTGTTATTGACAAGAGCCGAACGAAGGTCTGTCAGAGCACCCGGCGAATGTTGTCTTGGATCTTCATATAAATGTCGAGTGATTAAATAATCAAGAACTGCATCACCCAAAAATTCAAGCCGCTGATAACAATCGGTCAATCGATTTTGTGAATATGACGCATGTGTCATGGCTTGCAGCAGATACGATCGATCCTTGAAAAAGTATCCAAGATGTGCCTCAAAGTCTGAATAACCGTCAAGCAGTAAATCAAGCGACTCATACGGATTTGGTGAAAAGTGTAATAAAGGTGATTTTGGAGCTGCCCAATATCCGTACACTGTCTGATATTTGACTCCGTCACGTTCGAATGGTTTTGTACTTCCAGGAATACTATTTGTATTTTTGTCATCAAATATCACTTCTTTCGAAGGTAATACACGAATACCCAACCATGCCATGAAGAGCAGCGCCCCACGTGGACCACATTCAATTAAATTGGCACCAATTAATGCTTCGACACAGTCGGCTATTGATTTATCGGGTATACTATGTTGGGTCACCAAATTATATGGTATAAAACACGGAAATTCATCGCGATTTATTGCAAAGCTGTTTTCATCAGATTCGGAGTCGCTTGCATCATCATACGAACCACTTTCATTGTCGGTTATGGTTTGGCCTGTAAATATTTATTTAAAAGTTAAAATCAAATTGAAGAATTGTTTGATCAAAAAAATGTTCTTACAGTCTTTGTCGTTTTCATTGTCCGAACCTTCCGAGTTGCCAAATATTCGTTTCTTAAGCACTTGGCATATTTCATCCACGCTCAATTCCTTAACATCCAAAAGCCTTGCATCCTCCCAATAACAAGCTGGTATTTTAGCTTCGATAAGTGCCTTTTCCAGATCCTTTGGTACATAATAGCATGGTGGTAACCAATTGTCGTGTGGTTCAAATTTAGTGGCAATCATTCGTTCGCCCAGCATTTTACGTCTTCCCAAGCGATACAAATTCAAATTTGATACTTGTCTCGATCTCAAATGGCTCAGTTTACCTTCATGCACATTTTCGTACGTACAATACAAATATGTGGTGATGGCATATTTTAAAAATGAATCTCCGATAGTTTCCAAGCGTTCCAAATTGATGCCATCGTTTGCATTTGACATTGTAAGCGCTTGTAGGATAATACTGGGACTGGGTCCATGGTTTTCATTAAGATTTGGTTGCCTATCGAAACTAAAACTCTCTTCTCCATCAACAGCTTCTATATCGGGTACATTGCATATTTCAGTGGCCTCAGTAATCTTAGCCCGAGTTATTGTTCGGTCTTTGACAAATTCGTCTCGATGCAAGTTATACGTGATTGTGCCATCACCTTCGATTTGAATTGAATTTTGATCATAAAATGCATCAAATACACTTCCAACTCCTTCGACTTTGTATCGTTCAATCGGATACCGATCGAAATAAATTTTGTGCAAATTGTAAACGTCATCTATGGACAGTCGGATGGCACCAGTCTCATCTATGTCACAGCTATCTTCGATAAACTTTTTTAAAACGGATGGTTCAATGAACGAAAATAGAAATTCCAAACGCTTAAAATCGTTCGCGCTGTCGTCTTTTACCAAAGAACTTGGTGGATCTCTCAATATGACAATTTGTTCATTGTATTTTATCAATGTACCGGATGCTCGAATTTTCTCCTCAAATTCACCAACTGATTGCCGAAATTCGCTTTGATGCCATTTCATTGACGCTCGAATTTGTAAGTCATTTGTATTTATTGAACAATCATAGCCGCTGCCAATGTTCTTTGTACTTTGATATGATTTCTCATTTGCATTGATGCCATTGATGATCTCAATTTTTCGTTGCCGTCTTAAAATATCTTCTTCCGTCTCGATTGCTTCGGCCAAATTGTCTGACTTGAATTCAATGTTCAGGCCTTCGTTGTCGTCGTCAGTATCGCTGTCGTCACTTTGATAAAAGAACTCATCATCCGACTGGTCGGAGTAAGATAGATCTGACTCTGATCCAATTGTTTTTATGGTTTGCTTTGATTTGGGGAGCTCCCATGACGTTGGCGAACCATACCGAGTATTCACTAAATTTTAACGAAAAATCGAATTCAATTCTTGCAAAATATTTAAAAGCTGTCACACTTACGTTTATTTCTCGAACATATGCTAATATTTGGCGGTAGCATATCATTCCATTCGTCTCCGCTGGAGTTTATGTCGATATTTTCCGCCATTGCATTTGACCATGTGCCAATTTCCATCACGCATTCATCCTGTGTAATAAATATTTTGAAAATTAAATGAAATATTCTGTGCATTCAGCTGTCATTTGGTCTTTTACCTCCAACTTTTTCTCGACGTCTTTCAATAGATCAATGTCTATGTCTTTCTTTGTATCCAATATTTCCGCTTTATCTTCTGTTTTACCTTCACACAGTGATTCAGATCTATTTTTCATTCCATCAATGGTCTTTTTCATTTCTTTGGTTTTTGAATTATCCCTGGCTCTTCTTAGGACGTCAACTAATTTCCAGCCAAAATCCAACACTGGCCAATCGAACTCTTCGTCCACTATGCAACTTTTTCCCAAACTTATATCTTCGGCCACTTCAATACGAATCTCGTCGGCAAGTAACAGCGCATTAATACGATACAAAACACATGGCAAGCACACCGCAATTCGCCACAATGACGCCGGAAACGGATGTATTGTACATAATTCGGGCACCAAAATTTGTTTTTGTTCAAGATTTTCTCGTTTTGCTCGTTTCGTTTCCTCGGAACTGGTTGGTAGCGCAACACCTTTTCGATTCACATAACGTGGCGTAAGGAAATTCAATCGTGCACTCGTATGATCCACATCAAGTAATGGTTGTGCACAATTTTGTATGACAATATCGTACTTTCGAAAATAGTATTCTTTAAAAGTGTCATAGCTGTCTCCGGGGAATGAACTCTCCGGCGATAAATAATCACAAATTTCGGCCACATAAAAGTATTGTGGTTGGTCTTGGTTTCGATACCATGGCATAACGACAGCATCGCAAAATTTTTCACGATCAAATTTTTGCGACTTTCGGCTCAATTCTGGCACTTCTCTTGGCATTTGATCACTTTTATTCGCAATCAATTCCAAAAATGACCAATCAACACCCACCGTATTATTCGCATCTCGTATCGTTGGCACGATGAAAAAACTATTTTCCGTCGCATTTGCATCGAAAAACATCAAGTATTTTTGCAAGCGAAGAACGTTTGCGAATAAATACTTTAAAAATACGTTGATTTTTGTGAGTTTGTACTCGTCGATGATCACGTTATTGGTGGCCAATTCGAGGGATACGCGCACCTCACCCGATCTTGTGAATATTGAGAACGAACCTAACTTCGGTATGTGCTTTAAAGTTAACAGGCCAAATCCTTGAACTGCATCTTCAGGCGCATATATCTGACGGCCACGCGTATTTTGCTCCTCTGGGATCGGACACTCAAGAACCATTTTGATGAAGTACAACTTGCATTCAACGCCGACGACTGGCCGACAATTTGATAGGGCAGATGCAATCTAAACATACATTAAAAATGATGGACACACAATTACTAACAGTTGATAGATTCTCGGATAGAGACATTTTTATTAATATTGTATTAGAATCGAGGTGTGCTTACCCGTTTGTAGTAATATTGACGTCGACGTGTAGTACCGGGTCGCGGATCAAGATTTTCACTAACGATGTCTGCATCTTCCTTTTCAAGGTCAAAATTATTCCATTCCGGTTCGGATGCTCGAAAGCCTTCCTTACCAATTGGTTGTAAGAAATCATCAAATTCACCAGATTGATGTAAGATCCTACAACAAATTAATGCCGCCATTCGTCTCGCAAGTACTTTGCTTGGCATTGGAAGACCCTATAAAAATGTTCACATTTTGTTGAAAAATCATTCGTCTGCACATGAAGACAAAAAAAACACTTACGTAAATATCTTGTTTAACTGGCGAATTAATTGGTAGCCTCACAGTATACTGGTAATATTCTCTATTTCCGCGATAAGTTTTGCAACAACGCCACAATGGTGTTAGCTTTGTAAATGTATCCGATGGTAGTTTTGCACAGTATTTATTGACTAGAACGACGGCATTAGCCAAATTTACAAATGGTGTGTCATCACCTTGAATCGGTTTGTATGGTTTAATTAAGTTTGTATATAAATCGGCATCGGCGAGTTCTTTTAGCGATGGCTCTCGATTGCTACAATTTTTCAAAAGAATTTGTTCGATTTGCCTATATTGAGCTAGTAATTTTACAAAATTTTCAGTCTCATTCTGCATTGCATCGAAACACTTTGAAACTGATTTGGTGTCGACTTCATCGTCTTTAGTTTCGTCCATGTTTTCATCAAGTGCCCTTCTTAGTTCGCCAGTATCGTAACATTTGGCTGGTTTCAATTCGTCATCGTTCGGCATACAAAGTGCCCTATGATTTTTACTTGAAACAAATTCATTACAATTATTCTGATGTGATATTGTGCTGGTCGACACCATAATTATGTGGAATGCCTTTTGAGCACGAGCTCTTCCTTTACATTGAACATAACTTCGATACGTTGTCGGTAAGTTCCATCTGATCACCAAATTACATCTGGGCAGTTCAATTCCTTCTTCTAAAACTGATGTGCCAATCAACAGATTGCACGTATGCATTCGAAATCGTTTGAGTACCTCTTCTTGCCTGCGATGCTCATTCTCGAATTGTTTTGTTTCTGTAATTGGATCGGCCACACGATCGCCGGTATATTGCACTGAAAGATATTCGAGGTCTGGATCGTTTCTTGATATTTCACTGATGAAACTAAATAGAATTTTTGCGGTGAACATAGAATTACAGAGTAATAAGCCACAGAGAGCATTTGGATCATATTGATAGTTGATTATTCGTCGCAACCGTACAAAATTGCTTCCTCTTGGTCGTCTATGTGGCACATACGTTCTTGTAGTGATTGGCTGAGTACTAGATTCCTCGACAGCAATCTTTTCATTTTTGCTCTCCGAACTTTGTCCGATGCCATTTTTAATTTCGTCATTGGCAGTTTCACCGGAGGTTTTTATTAACTCATTTTCAACCGAATTCACTTTTGTCGTGTTTTTTTCTGTATTTATTGCATTTACTTTGGCTTTCACACCATTTTGTTCTTCTGGCGGTTTTTCCGATTTAAACTGTCGAAGTATTTCCAATAGACGCAAAGACTTCGGACTGGAATATGTTTCCAGACACTCTTTGGTACTTGGAATGCGTTCAAAAATCGTTTCACAAAATGCACGAATTTGAATCAATGTCGTTGATACCAAACAAAGCAACAGATAATGTCGTTCATACGGTGTTTTAATTTTCAATTTTTCAATTTTGGCAATTAAGTAGATAGCCGCACGATCCGCGCACCATGGTCCAAATTCATTCAACACATCCAAAAACTGATCAAGACATTCGATGGGCTCTTTTTTCGGATCCGGAATGTGTTTGAGTTCGTCTTCAAATTCGTCGCTGTAAATTTCCAATGGATCGTAACGATGCTCGAGCAAAAATTGCTTTTTGGTTAGTATAATATCACGTAAGGTTGCAGATACATCACAGTTGGACATATTTTGCGGAGGCAAACATTGAATTAATAGTTCTGTTGGCTTTGTACAGTATCTGGAAAATGAAAATTAATTACATCATTCCGGGAAAAAAACATTTCAAACATCGCACTCACCTTAAAACAGTTACGATATCACTGGCAGTTTCGGCTTTACATTGAATGGTTTTCTCTAATACTTCTAAATGAAATGGAAGCTGATCGGTTGAACAGCCGGCACTATGCAATGGACCAGCCAAACCCAGAATTTTTGGCATTTTCTTATCATTTCGAACATATTCCAACAATAATAGCAGTTGCACATTGTTATAGTTTTTGTGGCAGTCTTCAATTACAATTAAATTAATATTCTGGATGATATTTATGGCGCCATTGCGTACAGCATCTAAACACTTTGGAATGTCCAATATGATGACTTGAAAATCACGTAAATACTCTTTCCAATTTAACTGCTCTTTCAATATTGTGTTTACATTGAGCACTTTTAAATCAGTCAAATGGTAAATTAGATTGTATATGGATTCACCACCGGATGAAGTCGATGTTAAAACTAATGTGACTTTTTTTATTCCATTGTGGTGGCCACGAAGTTCATGAGCTTTTTCTAAAATTAATTTCAATGCAATAAACTCCTTTGACGAATTATGACCCAAACAAATAATGATATTTCGTTCACTGGCAGCTGCCAGCAATTCGACTTGAAAATCACGTGGTGTAAATGCGGTTGAACTTAAATTATCTTGCCAATGGAATGTTGCCATGTTCACAGATTTTTACAATTTTATTTTTTAAACAATTAAATAATATTATTCTTAAAGTTTACAATGCATTCGATGCTAACAATAATCCTTTGAACATCAACTTGATAACTATTCTCCGACACGCTCAACAAATGACAGCTGATACACAAAGACAGAACAAATGACAAATGGATGCGTTTAATGTCAATTCAACACACCGTTCATATTGGTAGGATTTTGATATTCAAATTGGAATAGGTATTGATTCTTTCGAATGTTTTTCCAATGGGATGGAAGTTTTTTTTCTCATTTATTTTGAAATATTGCTTTATTACAAAGATTGTGTTTCAATTTAGAAAAGGTATTTATTTATATTCCTTATGCTAATATGAATTTAGATTCTTAACCATTTGTTTCAATAAATGTGTGTTCCATTCTCTTTATTTTGAAGAATATTCGTTTACAGTGTAAATATTTAGAAATCAAAATATCCTCTCCTATCAAATATATCTAGAAGATTTTTTAGTTGTCCAATACAGGCTGGATTTGTGTAAAGACCTGAGCTGTTATCATTATTATTATTATTTAAGACATCTATAAAGCCGCCATCGTGAAATTTATTAATGTGTCGTAATCCAACGATAAATAAAATAATAAGTGCATTGTAAAAATCTATTCGAAAACATGCCGATTGAATGTCGAATAGCGTGGGGATTTTGGAAAATTTTAAGAGTTTCAAATATTTCACCAGCTCTGAATGGTAATATTGAATGAGATGTTCGCGATCATCCTGCTTAATTGATGAATCCGAAGAACCGTACAACAAACAAACCAAATCAATCGATGGACTCACATGCTTTCCGATTGCAAAGTCGACCTATTAAAAACAAAGTAAAAATTGATAGTTATTATTCAAAGTGTGAATGAATGTAATATTCTTTATCGAGCCATACAAATCGAATGTCAATCGGTTTTCCATTTTGATCGTGGCGGTAAAGTAAGTTATTCATAAACATATCCCCGTGAGTGATAACATTGAAGCCATCATCCTGAGGTTCATATGATTTGTGTATATTATCAAAAGCCTCTTGTGGAATATTTCCCAATTTTTCCGAAATATTCTCATAGCCGGGCCAATGTTTTATTTCGTTTGATACAGTTTGAGCGATGTTTCGAAAGAAGCTCTGGATACTTGGAGAGTTTTTATATACATTTCGTTTTGTGTACCATTCAAATAGTTCAATGTTCTAAAAGAAGAATAAAAATTCATTGACGTATTTTGTAACGTGCAGGAATCGAACGTACTTCAATGAGTAGGGAAGCTGTTCCCGCATGCCATTTGGCCAAAGTTAACAATGCCAATTTCATATGATCCATATTCAATCCATCAACGCTGTTTACACCTTTGAATTGTTGATTTCTCAAGTCTTCAAATGCAATCATTTTTCGCTCGATGTCTGCAGTATAACACCTGGATGGGTTTTAACACAAATTCAAAAATAGTTGGAATTATTATCACAGTGTAATTTCGAAAAATAAAAATGTCGCTGAAAATGAATTGAAAAATCTCCTTTCAATATGGAGGTTTCATTTTCATTCTCAACAACGCCGATATAAATACCGCGGTGCAATTTGACCAAATTCTCCAACTGATTCCAACAACTTTTCAACCGCTGGCAAAACTTTGGTGTATGCTTCAATTTCTCTTTCATAAAGGAGAGATTCTGCGCAGATTTTTGCATAATCTTCAGTTTGGATGGCAATTTTCAATAAGAAATCACATGACTTTTCACCATGAAGTTCACTCTCGAATATTGCTTTCAAGCCAATCATGTAACTTGAAAAATTTTCACCGTCATTAAAACATTTCTTCGCAGTGAACGATTTTAAAATTGCATGTTTACTTTGTTCCGATTTTTCGATGAGATTTTGAACGAAACTCGAAGTGATCCACGGAAATAATTCAAAAACTTTACACTCTTCACCCATTGCGACGCAATCCGATCTATTCTCGCGCAAATTAATATCCAAAATGAATAAAAAATACTTCTGATTGTAACAACAATGTATACATACCCTTTTATAGCAAATAATATCGCAGATAAGACATGAAGTGTATTCTCATTCGCTAAACTAAAAAAAATAATCAGTCGCGACGTTTATCTGCTGATTTCAATGCAATAAAAGAGCATTCTTATGAAATAGCTATAAATAAGCTGTAAAATCATTAAATCCATGATATAGTTGGTGCGCTGATATACAGAATGTATTTCAAGCGTTAAAATTGTTATCTTAATCAGAAAATCAAAATGCAAACTAATTCACTCGCCGCAAGCAAAAAGTGCTTGACACATTTCATTTTTATTTATGAAATTAAGAAAAAATGGTGTTAAATAAAGACAAATACAATTTTGATCGAATACAAATTTCAAATGTGAGTTGATGCGCAATGATATTTTGATGAGAATACGTGCCAAAACTGACTACCAATCGTTGGTATTTGCCAAGTCTTCAAACAATTTATCTTTAACTGTTTGTCGTGGATCTTCTGTGATGTCCGTTTTGATTGCATCGTACTGACCAAGCAAGTATTCGAATTCATCGGCGGTTAATTTTTCCCCACGTAATTCAACTGGCCCGATGATCTGTTTCGTTATGTTGCCTTCAAAGTAAATGAAAATACTTGGTAAATTTTTCTCCGGGAAGTTCGGTATACAAGTTGTGGCAATCGACTTGATGAATTTGGTTTGTGGGTACCGCATTGCCAAATTGTTCATGTATTGATTGATTAATGCGCACAATGGAATGCCCTGCTTGTACAAGTGCAAAACAACATGAATGCCATCGCCCGCCTTATTCACTTCGTCCACATAATCTTGGCCGGAGATCTCACGAACCGTGCCAAATTTACTCTTTTCGGCCAAAGCCTTCATTTCAGCAATTCGCTTATTACGGTATTCCAACAAAATTGCTTCATCTTCAGAGTCTTCCAATTCATCGAGCTCATCCAAATCCATATCATCCATTTGCTTTGAGTCTAAAAATATTTTTAAAACACATTAAAAATGAATACAAATGAATTAAACGGATTTTACGATACTCACTGTTCATTTTGCTTTCAATGGCTTGCTCGACCATATTCACCAATGACTCTTCGGTGATTTCAGGCTCTTTTGGTGGTAAAATGCCTTTTGAACGCAAAATATCGTTCCATTCAGTGTCTTCATTTGGATCCTGAAATTCATTCGATTCGAAATTAGAAACAATTTAAAAAACAAACATTTATTTAGTTGGGAAACACTCTTGTTCAACGTCAAACTCGTCATGCATGAGTCATTACTATATATGGAAATATTAAAAACACCCATCGTTTTGATGCAGTGAATTTGACTGGAAATTCCATTAAATTTAAAGAAAAATTACACTTTTTGATTGTCACTCACCAACATTGTGTTTTGAGTTGCCTTTTTAAGAGATGAATTCCCAAATAAAGTTGAATAAATAAGCAAAATTCGAAAATATCGACCAGAAAAAAAAATTGATGCTGCACCAAAATATACCTTTTCACGATCTGTTTGCGAATGACATATTTTAACACATGAGGTGAGTTATTTTTGGATCATATGTTTGTCATCGGCATATTTTTGACGTTTCAAATGTCAGTCGCTTCGTAGTAAATTATTCCAATGAATCATATGCAATGCTATGCATTCATTATACACAAAAATCAAATAGAACAACTTCAATTACATTTTCAAAACGTAAAAAAGGCAAATAAAAGAAAAATTCACGAATTGAAAGTAAATTTTTGGTTGTAATTCCCCTTTTTTTTAACTATTCACCGTTGTTTGTCTTATTTAAATGTGAATACGTAAAATGTCCATGTGGCACCCCCAAAAGCTGATTGTCAGCTGGAAAAAAGAAGACAATAATTTACGCAATGCTTGACAGTTGTTTTCTTGTGCTTCAGAGCAGAGAAGATTGATTGTGGCTCCTGTGGTATAGAGGAGTAGAATTGCTTTTATTGTGTGTAAGTGTCTCTCTTCGACTCGGAAAGTCTATGTGGAAACAGAGTGTGTATTATCTTGTGGTTGGTTGCAAGTGAATTCTTGCTCGTGCATTGAACAAATGCCACGGCATAAACAGCATTGAAGAATTGAAGAAATTAAGCATTCACCGTATACATTAAAATTTAGTTAGTTAAAATTTATTGTTTAATTTGTGCATTTTCACCGAATGAATGTGTACTGTTCTTCACATAAAAATACAGAGTAGCCTTGAAAGTAGATCAAGTTCAAATCAACATCGATTGCCACCATGAGTCAGAAGGATTCGTTGTCGAAATTGAAGAATTTCTTTCGCATGGATAAAAATTCTAGCGGTAAGTGGATTGACATTGAAACAATTGAACAATAACAATAAGCATTTCCATCCACATTTGAGCAGGGAGTAATCGTGAAAAAACTGATGCAGACTTGTTGCGTGATCTGGAAGGTCTAATACAACCACAACTCGCAGCTACACAACGATGCAAAACACTCAAAGACCTATCCGAATCGGATAAAATAAGCCGATTAGAAGATGTAAGTACATCTCACATTTGGACCCAACTCAAAACAACATTAACTCATTTTTTTTTGCAATGAATAGACGACCATCATTCGGATTTGGGAGTTGACCAAGGATTTGATAGCATCAACACGACCTTGGGAACAGCGTCATATAACCTATCGATTTTATCAGAAGTTGGTGCTGTGTCAATTTGAAGACTTATCATTAACGCGTGTACACTTTTTTCGCGTGATCCAAGAACATGATATAGAGGAAGATGTACAATGTCAACTCGATTTATTGAAAACAATAACCGACAATGGGAAAAATATTAAAGATATCGACGATAAAATCGGAGATTTTATACTTAATCGATGGCTCGCCAAACTTCGCGACATCAAACAAATTCGAGAGATTTTAATTATGGTACATAATATCATTGTTTATAATGCAGCTTATTTAGATCCCGATATTGTTAATGGAATTATCACGTAAGCACTGTCTTGTATTCAACCGTTTATCAAGTGCAATTAACCACTAATTGCAACATTTTTTTTTTATTCAAACATAGATATGCCTGTTTGATGTGCTGTACAAACGACGATATTGTTTTGCAATGTTTAGACGTTTTAGATGCAATTCTTTGTTACACCGTACTGCCAAACAAAATGCTGCCAGAATGGGTAAATGCCCTGTGTCGAACCGTAAATCGTGAAATTTACGTTCAAAAATCATGGGACATAATGAAAAAATTGCTTGGCACGAAAATGGGACACGCAGCTCTGCTTTATATGTGTAATTTATTGAATAATTCAAATTATGTGAACGATGACGCTCTACTACGTGGCGCTGTTTTTTATATTAATATGGGATTGTGGGGATCGACCTGTTCGAATGCAAATGATCTATTTAAGCAATCACCAACTTCAGTTTTACAGAGTTTTTTATGCGTAAGTTACTATTTATTAGATTATTTTACCTGAAAATAGAAACTGATGTCGCATTTTGATTTTTGCAGGCACTTAAAAGTCAGCGAGTGTTTGTCACGTATGAAGTAATCATCGGTATTCAACGACTGATCTATGTGTCTGGACGTGATTTGAGCGAACCCACTTGGGATGTTTTGTGTGAAATCTTAATAACGATAGCCGACAACATTCGTTATTACGGTAAATTCCTGTGCCTACATTGTTTTTGTTAAAACTTAATTTAACGACTCCTTTTGAAAACAACATGTTTTATGTTTACAGAGAATGATGGTCTTTCGAAAGACAGTGTAATTCATATTGCATATCACGAGGCGCTTGACAAAATCGAGCAACTTCTTCAGCGAAATGAAGCTGCCACCGATTTGGAAACCATTTACTCGGTCATCGAATATGTGTGCGAAAGTCGATCGGAAGACTCAATCGTTAATCTCATGGAGTACAAGGCAACAAAAATAACACCAACCCAAACACAATGGTTGCAAGAACTGAACTCGTTCATGAATCGCTTTTTCAACATGCACAACTTTAAAATTCGAGAGAAATCATTGCAGGTGCTTAAGCGCATCATGGACAATAACAAGTAAATATTTTGCTCGAAGAAAAGTGGAATGTTCCAAATTAATTTTCTGAAAATTTGTGAAACAGGTCCGCCTATGAGGAAGAAATGCTGGAGAGTATTGTAATTCCGACGTTTTCAAATGTTGCATATGAGAGCGATGCCAAAATTCGAACATGTGTCGGTGAATTGCTGTTGAAATTGGTTGCCCAATGCGATACAAAACGAAGCATTGAATTACTCGATATTGTGGAGAAATTATTGAATCGGCCATTCGATCGATTTAATGATGATGGTCGAATCGTTCTTAAGAATGACGATGAACTCGCCCATATTACCACGCTCATTGACGAATTGATACGAGTAAGTTAAACTAAATTACAATATTTTTTTTTTTTTTCAGATAAAATGTCGATTAAACATTGCTATTCGTAGGTATTCTTATCGAAACTGCACACGGTATCCACGGCACATGCCATAAAAATATTTGCAATGTTGAATGCACACTTGGAAAAATATTATCAAAAATCAACCTTACTTGAGTCTTCAGTTCCTGTTCGGAGTAGCATTTTTGCATGGTTGCTACGAATTCGGGCCAATGCAAATTATTTCGTCGGATACATGGACGATTTGAAGAGTAATCGAATGCGATATAGCCATTTCTTGAGTATCGATGCAAACGAATTGAATTACCATCAAAGTAATCGACAACAACAAAATCAACCGCCAGCACCCACACAACAAACGTCACAAGATACCGAAATCCAAGCACAAACAACCATTTCGATAAAGCGAAGTTGCAAAATGTTTATCGATTGTTTGGTTAGTGAAAATGATTGGTCCGTGATGCAGCTCGTTTTGAAGGGATTACCATTGATGTTGCAAAATAAGGCATTGTTCCGTGGCGTTGATATGGAAGCATTGGCCACCGCTATTATTGGTTTGGTGACAAAGGTTTGTATGCATGGGGCGGAAATGAATGAGACGAAATTTTCTCTCTCATGGGCGCAGCCATATTGAAAATTTTGTATGCGCTTATATGTAAAATTGGTGGCGCCACTGGTATATTTGATGGAAAAAGAAGAACATGTTTGAGTCTCACTCGTTTATATGTAAATTACATAGGCATTTCCAGGCCATGTTTGTATGGATTTCATTTCAATTGAAAACACACATTCAATGACTCAACAACTATCGCTTTGAATGAAAATAACACTTTTATCTATTCACAGTCGCAACATTCAAAAGATAAACCACGAATCGATACATTTATTCCTTCAACACACAAACCGCAGTTATCCGATTTTCAAGCATTGGTAATAAATACCATAGCCGCATTGATTCCGTATCATCAAAATCTTGGCAGTCAAATTCAGAATCGAATGATTACAACGTTGCGACCGGGTCTACTATCGCTAGAAACAAATACACCACGTGTGTGTATTCAGGCATTTACCGTTATGTTGATGGAGATTTTGGAATTGATGCTTCGTCATTTGGCTGAGATTCTGTTTGACATGAGTAGAATGTCGACGACGTTGAATGTTGCCGTTCCCGTTTTGGAATTTTTGTCAAGTAAGTCAATTTCAAGTCACTTTTCAGCTCTTTTACTTCTTTGCATCTAATTCTCCATTCTTCTTCCAGCTCTGAGTCGTTTACCGGCTCGTTTGTTTGCCAACTTTACAAACACTCAATACATGTATGTGTTTGCGATTTCATTGCCATACACAAATCCCCACAAATACGATCATTATACGGTGTCATTGGCACATCATGTAATCGCCGGCTGGTTTTTAAAGTGTAAATTATCATGGCGAAAGGATTTTGTGCAGTACATTTTAAAAGGTTTAACAACAAATGTACAAAAACCATTCGAAGAGATGAAACGTAACGATCATGCGCCGGTCAATGAAGATTCGTCAAATCGAAAACGAAGCTCCAGTTTAACTGAGCGTGGTGCAAAGCATCGTGAACGGCCGGCAATTCAAAATTTACACATCAAAAGTGACGAGGCAGCCGATGAAGTGGCATACAATTTTCACATGGAATTGGCCGATACTTGCATCGATTTTTTGTCACGTCATACCTATTCAACGTGTTCAGCATTGCCGAAGCGTTCATCGACCGCCGAATATCTTTTAACAAATGGTCATTCGATGTCATGGCTAGTGGGTAATAATGTGGTTACGATCACAACCAGTGGATGCTCATCAACAGCTGGACCAAATGGCCTATGTGATCGTTGTGGCTTTATATGCAAAACCTCTAAATTGACTGAACAAAGTTCATCGAATGGTGCAACATCGCCCGAAGTGAGTTCATTGAAATCGAGTGGAAGTGAGATATGTCGTCGATATACAAAAGCCACTCTACAACATAATAGCGGTGAAGTGTCAGAGAGTAGTGAATTTTCAAATTCATCATCGATAACAACACCGTTTGGCATGAATACAGACACCGGTAGATTTTTCAAGGGTTCATCGAACGAAGGCCGTTTCAATTCATCGGGCAGTTTAGATGCGTTGTCACGACGTGGCAGTAATCCGGATACTCTAAATCATTCATCAGAAACGGTTAGCAAACACGGTTCGATTGGCAGCCATCCGATGTATTTGTCACCACAACAAAGCATCGAACGTATCAAACAAGTGTGTATTTGTGCGTGTTCGGGATGGGCGGAAATCGTTATACGACGACCAACTGGAAATATGTCATGGATTATGAAAATACAAAATCACATTGCATTGGATTCACTATCGTGCGATGTTCCACTTCAAGACTTGATCAATATGTGCACACCATCGTTGGGCGAAATCTATAATATTCCCGATTTTATGAATCAAGAACAACTGTGGAGCAGCAATGTGAATATAGCAAATGAACAAACATCATCAAATGAAGTGGCCAAAAGAAACTATTATAAGGTCACAATTGAGTCGAACACTTCCAGACCGAATGAAATGATCGAAAAGAAATCGGATACAGTACAAAATGCTGCGAATATTACACAAAAGACAGAAAATTTGACTGCAAATTCTGCAATTTCAAATGTGGAGACAAATACGACAGTGTCACATCCATTGAGTGGCCCAATAAATATACCGAAATCGGCGAATGCCGAGAAAATTCCATCGGGCAGTTTTAGCGATGTAGAACCAGACGACGATGATGGCAGTGGCGTGGTATTTGATGAGAATGACGCCAAATCAAGAAATCCAGTTCGTCGTGTAAATTCAAGCCCGGAAATGAGTTCGAATTGGCGACATCCGTTCATTGGACAAAAACCGAATCAACCACAATCGGCTGGTATTAATTTATCGGCACATGGCAGTGCCGATGATGATTTTTGTATTACGGACAATGAACAACAACAGAAAAAGAAGAACTTGCGACCAAGGTGAGTGCAAAGAAAAAGAAAGCAATTGTTCTCAAATATAAATGTGATTTTTTTTTTTTTTTTGGTAAATTTTCAGCTGTGAAGCAATCCCTGAAGAGATTGGTGATGCAACACCACCGAAAACCAGTCAAATGGATCAACAGAAATCAACAAAAGTTGATGGTACCGTTTCAGTAGTTGCAAGTGGAATGGCAAAGAATCAGCACAAAGATTTCATTGCAAAATCAAGTTCCACTCAAAATACTTCGACTTCATCGTCATCGTCGACATCATCGTCAACTACAAAAATTGGGCCAAATTCGTCGGTCGACAATTTGTTACCGTCAAATCCAAATGCAGCACCACGTAAACAGCATTCAGCCGATGATGCTGAACAATCTCAATCGCGACAACAACAACCACCGATGAATGAACCAAGACACAGTTCATCTGGATCGTCAATCAATCTTGGCGGATCATCGTCCAAATTCAAGCTAAACATTGATATGCCAAATTTGGCCACGAAACCACCACAATCACATGCTCCTTTATCGCCACGCTTGCTGCGTAACAATCTTGAAATGTCACACTTGAATAGTTCGAATAATTTCAATGATTTCCAAAGGGGACGATCGAAAACCATATCAGTTGTACGCGGCGAACGTGACAATCGTGATAATTCAAAATGGACATTCAAAAGCAGTAAGTCATAACTTGAAGGGGAAATGAAACCAAAATGGTTCTTAATAATGGTTTTCTATTTATATTTTTTAGCTCGATCAGTGCTCAGTCCGAATTCAATATTTCTACAATTCTTTTATACCGGTCCAAATCGAGTGACCGAACAGCCACTATTGATCAGTCAACAAAATTGCAAAACAATCGAGTAAGTGAATGACCCATTAAAATATACCGAATATCCTAGTTAATTGGTATTCCCCCTTTTTTCGCAGCATGATCAACTATATTCCACCTTTTGAAACGCACAAAATCGGTGTATTATACATAGGCCCCAATCAAACACACAACGAAATCGAAATCTTGAGTAATCGCTATGGTAGTTTACGTTATATGGATTTCATTCAGAATTTAGGTGCTTTGGTATCGCTGAAAAATGCAAAAGAATTGAACTTATTCATCGACATGGAGACTGATGGCAGAGACGGTAACTTCACATACATTTGGCAAGATGATATCATACAGGTGACATTTCATGTTGCCACGCTGATGCCAAACAAAGAAGACGATCCAAATCGAACCGAGAAAAAGAAAAATATTGGCAACGACTATGTGTCGATTGTTTACAATGAAAGTGGCGAAGAATATAATCTGAGCACGATCAAAGGTCAATTTAATTATGCGTGTGTTGTTATTGAACCGCTTGAATTGAACAGCAATCGAATATTTGTACGATGCAAGGACGATGTGGCCAAATTCATTTGCCATACCGAACCGAAGATTATATCCGATGCAAGTGCGGCTGGTTATGCTAGACAATTGGCACTTCATGCTAATGTAAGTGAAGCAATATTCAAATGAAACCAATTCATCAAAGATTCACACGCAATTTTTTAAATTCAATTCACAGTTGGCATCATTGGTAGCAAAATCATTACAAACAAAGAACGGAAGACCGTATGCATCGAACTGGCTGGAGAGATTGCGTCGGATCAAGCATCTTAGGGCAAAAGTATGATATTTTTTGATTTCATTTATTATTGCTTTGGCATTAGACGCTAACATATGTCCCTTTATAATGTCCACAACATATTTTTAGATACAAAAAGAGAATGGAGGAACGTCAGCATCAAGTTCAAATCAAACGGCTAACAACAGTGCAAAGAACGAGAGAGAAACAGAAGATTTCACTCAATATACGTAAAACTTCGATGGTTCAAATGCAAATCTATAATATTTTTTTTATATAGTTTTTAATCTAAAATCATTTATAAAAAAATACAAATATTATCGTCACCAACCATATTTACCACTGTCTTGTTTCATTTATTAACAAGGTTAGCACTGCATGAAATGCATCGAAAAATAATAGTCTATCTAAATGCATATTCATACAAATAATATTTTAAATACATCTTATTGGACGGTTAAAAAAATCCTTATCCCTGAAAAAAAAAAGATTTTTACAGCCAACCTGTTATGGGTTATCTATATAAAAAATATTTTGAGTGACAGATGATATACACTGCCGACAGAAAGTTTGGGTCAAGTCATTTCATGTTTACTACATTATTATGGTATTTTCTATTCAACAACACATGTATGCACATTTTTTTTATCTCCTGAACTACAGGTCGGCCTTAAAGTTGAATTTTACTATTTCAAATACATTCGATCAGATTGGTATATTTCCATATTCGAAGTAGTTAGAATATTGATTACCTACGATTTATCACCTGTAACACAAAAATCAAATTAAATAAAACAATTTGTATACATCAATACATGGTCGCACACACAAAATGTCCACAATGATATCAATTCATCGAATGCGTTTTGTTTGTGTGCGTTATGTTTATTTGTCAGAAAGACATATGTTCTTCAAGTGCCATGAATTGTACATTTGTTTAATGAACGATTTTTAACCGCTTGTTTTTCTGCTTAAATTCATTCAACTTAAGTTTATTTTAAAAGACCGTTGAATGACAATTTTGAACCGTGACCATTATCAATCGTCTGATATCCTAGACATTGATTAAGAGTCACTTCTTTTCGTAAAATCAAATCATCTTTTGAACCTCCTGCATTGCCTGAATCACTATCCCAAACTTCAATGCGGATTTTTGCGTCCCTTGGAATTTTGGCGTTCTCGTAGTGCTCACTAAACTTTACCGCATTAACTGCAGCACTTTTTGTTTCTGATCTGAAAACCTGTTGCCCATTTACGAAGATTTTTACATAAGGTTCACAATATTTTGACATTTGTTTGAATGGATTAGTTCCGTCACAGTTTCCACCATTTGCCAATTTATGACCCTCAAAAGCAAAATTAGAAATGCGTAAACCTGCAAATCCTATATTACAAAAAAAGCAAATAGAATCAGTTCGCAATAAAAAATATACATGAATATTAAATGAACGACATTAATTAATGTTGAAAATTAAATGACAAATTAGTATACCTGCATTACTCTCGCAATATTCAATGATACAGAATATAAGTACTGTTGCAAGAACCGATCTTAATGCAGCCATGTTATAATTTTTATTTCAAACTTGAATAAAAGAAACAATTGGAATAGACTTTAATAGCTTGGTGTAGCAGTTGGATAACTGATATCGCTTTCGAACGCAACGACAGTTTTATAGCTAACAAAAAAATGCGAAAAATTCGGAAACATGTTAATATTCATACATTGTTAACAGAAAATATCAGTAATGTGCGAAGGGGAGGGGTATGAGAGGAAGGCTTACCCCCTGTGATTTGAATAAGAAAAATTTGAAATGATTCAAATTGAAATTTTGGTTTTTCATTCGAAATGTGAGGACCTTTTTTGGTCGCCAATTTTGGAAAGTGAGGAAAAATCTTCCGATTTGCTAGGGTTTTTTGAACACTAGAGAAATTCTTTCAATTTGCTAGGGATTTTCACCGCAAAATTGAAATTTTAGTTTTGTAAAAAATCAGCCCCCCTGAAAATATTTGCTCTCATTTTATTTTTGCTCTCTATTGTCTGATTGTTAATTTACACATCTCCGAAAAATGGTCCAAATATTTTCGTGAATAGTATTTCGTTAATTGAAAATGAAACAAAACAAAACAAAACAAAACAGACCCATATATTTCAACATCAAAATAAAATTCCGTTCAAAATTAATGGTATTTGGAGTACATATCAATATATTGAAGGTTGTTTACTACAGAAACAATGTCGTTTAATTTTTACAGTTACCTTTCAAAGTTTCCAAGTTTTAAACCAAATGGGCTTTTAGCGTTACATCGCCAAGCTTTTTGTTTTTTTGTTTGTAAAACCTTTTAAATTATTTTGACTAGACATAGACACATTTGAAGGCATCGAACATTATTTTCATATGTATTAAAAGATCAATTTAAATTTGGTAAGAGTGTTTGGCGAACTTCACAAAGCACGAGTGTGGATGTGTGAAATTTTCACAGCCAAGTGTGCAATATGACTGCCACCATAGGTATATGTTGGAATCAAGAATATATTTTTTTTGTAGGAGACAAGAGCACTCAAATATGTGGTGTAACACAACGGAAAGAAGCTCAACGGAAATTGTCCACTACGAACAATGGAAAAGCGTTCCACGAATAATGTAAATTCACATCCAAAATTTACCCGATAAAAGTCGAATGTAAAACGTGAAATTCCTTGCACTAGTTCAGGCAAATTCCTCTGCGGTTTTGATACAACTAATGAAAAAATCACCAAAACTAGAAATGTAAACAAAATGAGCTATTTGGTGTACATCAATGAAGGAATAAGAAGAATAAAATTTATTACAATAACAAATTTTTAATATTTCCATGTCATCGAAAATAAAGAGCGATGGGAACTAGTATCGTATATTCCCCATACAAATTAATTTTATCGATTCTACGAATACGACATCTGTTAAAAAAGATACCGATTTTTGTTACTACTGTTGCTTTGACACAGCTCGAGCGAACTATACGGCTATGGCTGTATTACAGACGAACTAATACAAAAGAACACACAGACTCCGATCCTGTGTATGCGTATGATTGACGACTGAGTGCAGAATTTGTAATACATACGCATACACAGAATCGGAGTCTGTGTGTTCCTTTGTACGTTTACACGAGCTGTATTAAAACACCACTAGTAACATAAATCGGCGAGTTTTTTAGTAGATGTCGTATTGGTGGAATCGATAAAGAAAAATCTACGATATTAGCGCTCATTGATAAAGAGTAGCCCGTTTGATATATTATGGAGACGAGCGTGAATCTCAGTAAATGAATCGTTCTGTACTGAACCAAATTTTGAGTTCCAAATCAAGATAAACTATTGTTTTATTAAATAAATGATTGAAACAAAACAACACATTGCTTCATTATTTCAAACAATAACAAGAAGCTGTTGATAAAAAAAAATTGTCAGCTTGATCGTATTGCTACATTCATTTTATATTGCAAACGTTTTTTCCCTAAAGAATTAAAAAAAAAAACATCATATTTGTGATTGAAAACCATTTTATTGATTTTAATCAAAGACATTCCTAAAAAAAATTGATGAAATTTGAAATAACTTTAATCGCGTGAACTTGACTGTGGGTCAAAACATGACGGTATCGCTACTTCTTCCGGAAATGGCAATAATTTCTTTGATTGAAACATTCTCAAAATATGTTCTCGAAAAGTTGCTGAATAATCAAACTTTTTCGTAAAAAAGGCTGCGGTCAGAATTGAATTCGTTTTGAGTTTAAGCGTCTTGGGATCATGGCCTAAAATCAACGAGGTTGCATATGCAATGGCAAATGGGCCGCATGACGACCGATCTTTCTGTTTTGTCTTTGGATGAATATAAGTAATATTTTGATGGTATGGATAGCGTGCATTTACAATGTGCATTTGTTGTTCATCCAAACGTTGACTGTCATACACGTAAATCGTCTTATCGCCAGCATTATAAAATATGCACATGTAATGTCCGGGATTATGTTCATCTATTCCTTTTGAAGCTAAGATTTGTACATCGTTTTTTGTGCGATTATGAATGGGGATAAGTTCGGGATAGAAGACAAAATTGATAGAAATCATATCAAAATTGGTTGTTGACTCAACTAAATTGGTAAAAATACTGATTGTACGATAAGAGAACAGTTTATTTGGAGTCATGAGCTGCTTCATGATATCGGGATCGATGTTGATCAATGACTCAGAAATATAATCAATGTCCAATCGATTCGATCTATTTTAGAGGAAAAAAATGCTTGAAAATATTCAAAAGATTAATTTCAAAGTTTTTTTTTACCGTGTAAATAGCGACAATTCTTTTTTTTGAAACATTTCAAAAATATGTTTTCTCAAGTGAATGGCTTTATCAGGATGTTTTGCGTGCATTTTGAAACCATATGTGGCCGGTGTTTTATTCAATATCAATGTTGTTGCATATGCAATAGTAAGTGGCCCATTTGATGTGTCATCGTATTGTTCGGTTTTTGGCTGAACCCAAACCACCTTTCTTCTCATTGGATAGCGGTTTTCCAAAATTAATATGCTATGTTCATCCATTTTGTCTAGCATAGAGTTACTGAAATAACTATCGTAAATGTAGAGAGTTTCAGGATTTGGATCGTAGTAAATGCATAAGAAATGTTCCATTACATTACTGTATACGATTTGAATATCGTATGTGTTTGGAGGAATTGCAGGATAATTTTCGAGTTGAGGATTAAAATCTACGCGAATCATATCGAAATTGTATTTTTCACGCACAATTTCAATAAAATAATTGATTGTTTCATCAGTTTTACTGGACCAATACTTCTTTGCTAAACTTCTTTCCAACTTTTTTCCTTTTTTATTCGTACAATCAATAACGTTGACGTACGATATGACAAGACATCTGATTTTGAAGAAACAAAATAGTTTATTAAAAAAATTAATCAGGCATCACCGGTCAAAATTATGGAAACCCTCAATAAAAAAATAACTTTTTTCGGTCTTGAATTTTTTTCTTACTTTTAGTGATCCAATACAAATAATTTTTACCATCTTAGCCTCAAAGTACGAAAAAAAATATAAACTTCATATCGAAATCTAACGCGGTATCAAAATGACGGCCGTCCGTACTTTGGGTCCCGCCATCCAAAAATAGGACAAATCGAACCGGTTATTGTTTGATCTTGAGACTTTGCAGTTTCAGTCTACTTAATGTATTGGTAAAATATGCCACAATTTATTTGAATTGGATTGGTTTCCATAATTGTGACCGGTAGTGTATTTATTTTGATGTATATTCTTTTCACTTACAATGACACTATTTTATTTAAATAATTTAATTTAATACAGAAACGTTTCATCGTTTTAATATGAAATTTTTATTTTTTTTATTTCGTAAGAGTTTAAAACTCTACTGAATCCATCAACCTTTCAATTCAATATGAAAAATTCAGTAATTTTTGTAAGACTACGTAATGAATTTCTCCCAAACTGCTTGACATTGAAGTTTTATAACAACAGCTGTGCAAATTGAAACAGGGATCATTAGTATAAACATTTGCAAATATTTAATTCTTATAATTTAGAAATTCGACTTTTGCGCAATACATTATAACAATTTATTCATTACTTTTTTAAAAAAATTATGGAAATGGTAATAGTTTTTTCGATTGAAACATTTTTAAAATATGTTTTCGCATATAATTTGAATAATCAAATATTCTGGTAGACTTTTTTGATTTTTTCGATTTCGTTTTGAGTTTACGAGTCCTAAGATCGTGGCCAAGAATCAATGAGGTTGAGTATGCAATGGAAAATGGTCCGCATGATGAACAATCTTTCTGTTTTGTCTTTGTTTTAATATAAGTAATTTTCTTATGCTTCGGATAGCGTTTTTCTATAATGAACATTTGTTCATCACTCAAATATCTATGATATTGACTGTCATAGACGGAAACCGTTTTATCCTCTGCATCATAAAAGACACATATGTAATGTCCAACTTCATCTGATCCATCTGTGAATAAAATTTGAACATCGTCCTTGGTGTCATTATAGAGGGGATATAATTCAGGATAATGGGTGAAATCAATGAATTCCATTTCAAAATCCGTTGTTGCCTGAACTAAACTAATAAACGTATTGATTGTACGAAAATGTAAGAGTTCGTTTGGCGTTTCAAGATCATGCAACACCATAGGATGAATTTTATTTAAAGAGTATAAAGTATACTCAATATCCATTGTATGAGACCTGTTTTTTGGGGAAAATATCTAATTGAAAATGTCACATTTTAAAAGCTTTTCAACTTACTGCGGAAATAATGATAGTTCTTTTGCTTGAAACATTTCTGAAATATGTTCTCTCAAATGAATGGATTTGTCCGAATAATTAACATTCATTTTAAACGTATAAGAAGATGGGTCCTTCTCTAAAATCAATGTCGTTGCATACGCAATGGCAAATAGACCGCTTGATATTTCATCATATTGTTCGGTCTTTGGCTTAACACACACCTCATGGTCTCTCATTGGATACCGATTTTCTATAATTGGAAAATGTTCATCCGCAATAGCGTTAGTGATATCGTACAGACGGTTATAAATGTACACAGTTTTATAATATGCATCGTAAAATACGCATGTATAGTGGCCGGCATCAGATAAATTCAAATTACTGTATAAAATTTGAATATCGTATGTGTTAGGAGGAATTGCAGGATAATTTTCGAGCCTAAAGTTAAAATCGACCTCGATCATGTCATAATTATATTTTTCACGAACGAATTTAATGAAATAATTGATTATTTCATTGGTAACGGGAGTATTTGGTTTTTTAAGCTCGCTCAATATATTACAATCACCAATATTCACGTTGGATATAAGAAGACATCTGGCATTGAAAGAAAAACATTTTTTGATTTAAAATTCCTTTGAATGATAACTTTCACTTACAGTTTTAATATGAACCACATTGACATAAATTTATCGCCGAAAAATCTCATCGTTAAAAAGCGTTTTCGGAATATTTTCTAAGAAAAGTTTTTTAAGTAATTCTATGTGAAAATTTTGAATCCTTTAGCCACCACATTTGATAAGTTTCTGGCTAATTGTGAGTTCATGACGTTTGAAAAGGCACGTTTCTCTACAACAGTTCCAAAAAGTCAGAAATTATTACGAAATATTTATTTTAATTTTTTTTTTAATTTGACTGTCGATCAAAAACAGAGCATGAAATCGTACTTGTGAAGCCTACTTGTCAGAAGTTGAGTTCGTATTTGTACACAGTTCGTACTACGAGCCTCGTACTGATACAAACAACAAACGAAAGTAATTTATCAGAAATCAGTAACATTTTCAATTATTTTCGATTCAAACGAACCAAATGGCACAAACGAAAATTATACGTTCTAATAATCTGTTGCTTGAATTGATATTAATAAGCATGAGCGACATAGACACACATTGATTAACAGCATTCGGAGGGATTTCACTTACTGGATCAGCTGATTACAAATGAATTCACATGACATATATATTTATGGACAATATCTACAAGATAATCGTCTAATAGAGCGAATGAAACTGATTTTATATTCATTATATCATGGCGCATGATATTTTATCAACAAATTATTTTATTAAAGCAATTGTTGTGAATATAAACATGTTGATCAGAATTTGCTAGTCAATATATTTTGCATTTATACTGTCTTACATTTATTGGCTGCTAAGCAATGGAGCAGTGCTAATATACACTTTTACTCAAAACAATAGAATGATGCTATTCTAACGTATATTTGGTACAATATTAAGATTGGCAGTATTAAAAGTGTAGTGTCCAGTGAAGTGTAGTGTCCAACGAGCCAGTGTCGAATGAACTTTCACTATGAGTTCAATGGCAAAAAAATTGTTTGGAATTGCGAACATTTTTCCGCAAATCGTTTTCGAACCGATCGCATTACATTGCATTTGTTATCGGTAACATCACGGTACATACTAAATCTTGTTATTTGAATTACCTCCAGCTGAAAAAAAAATTATGGCAAAAAATCATTGCGATAGTCATAACCCTGTATCAGATACTAAATCATTTCTCAGAATTATTGCTAATTCAAATGATTGGTGTTCAAGTATGCACAAGAATTCATACACAGAGACAGAACTGTCAGAAATGGCGCAGTAGTTTGAATCGGTTTCAAAAAAAAACCGTTGCAAAGAAATTCAAAGTTGTACATATAAAAATATTTTTTTTTTTTTGATAATTTATCATATGAAATATGGTCAATTTCTGAATTCAATTTATCTGCATTTTATTTCAATTCAATCGAGGCAGTTTTTTTGTTATTTTGCATATTGTTTTTAAACACAAACACTGATCCGTACGACTTCAACAAAAGCGGCCAAACATACAAACTCCGATGCATACAATTGGAGATTGAGTTAAGAGAAAGGAAAAGAGAGAGAAAGAGTCGCGCCCCTTTAGTTTCAATCAGTTCGATTTTCGTTTGTGTGTGCGAATTTTTCGTTTCTGTATCATACATACTCTGAGAAAACTCAGATGTTAAAATTCAAAGTAATAAGAGAAAAATGCCATTTTAACATGGAGAGGTTTTTAAACATGGTAAAATCTTATTTTACCCGCAACACATTTCTTTGTGGGTAAAACCGCATTTTAACATGTGAAAAAATCTCTCCATGTTAAAATGACGACAAAATGCCATTTTAACATGGAGAGATTTTTGAACATGGTAAAATCTCATTTTACCCGCAACACATTTCTTTGCGGGTAAAACGGCATTTTAACATGTGACAAAATTTCTCCATGTTAAAATGGCATTTTGTCGTCATTTTAACATGGAGAGATTTTTTCACATGTTAAAATGCGGTTTTACCCACAAAGAAATGTGTTGCGGGTAAAATAAGATTTTACCATGTTTAAAAACCTCTCCATGTTAAAATGGCATTTTTCTCTTATTACTTTGAATTTTAACATCTGAGTTTTCTCAGAGTACACTTGTGATTTTTTGCGTCTAAACAGTCACAACCAGAGCGTCAGCCAATTTGAAAACATATTTATCGCATCAACGGCATTTTTTGTTTGTCTTTCTTGGAAATTGTTTAGACTTAGTGGAAACATTAACGAAAAAGATAAACAGCATCAACGAGAAGAGCGTTTATAAAATAAGATCATATATCCCGATTATTTCGTGAATTTATTGCGGACATTTCATCGTTTACAGAAGAAAATTATTTGTTTTGTCAATTTGTTTTCTCTGGATTATTTTTTTTATTGTTGTTTTAATTTCTGTTGACAGTTTTGTTATTTGTAATCGGCAAAATCAGTTCGTAAGTCATGAATTTGAAAGAGTATGTTGATCAAGAGGTAGAAAATATGAAAATAAAATTTGGATATTATGGTGGACCAAAAGCGGCTCCATTTAGATGTGAAACTCTGCCAAATGGTATTTTTTCATCAATATTTTAAATAAATTGGTGAATGGGTTTCATTTGTTGAGGATTTCTTTTAAACAAAATCATTAGGTAGGTCCTACACATTTCTTATGATTTATTTAGTGAACTTGCGTATGCTTTTGAATGGAATAACACCAAATCTTAACATGCCAATACAACAGCACAATGTGCAACGCTTCAATATGAATCACACAAATACAGCATCAGCATTGTCATCAGCATCAGCATTGAATGATGTAAGTGATTTTGGCAACAATGGCGTCGAAATCTATTCAGACGAACAAACAACGGATCCATTTCTATTGAGTGGTTCGAATTTGCAAAACGGTAAATTATTTATCAATATTTTAAATGGTGAATGGGTTTTCTTTTTTGGGGATTCTTTTTAAAAAATCGTTAGATAGACATTTTTCATTGTATATTTAGCAAACTTTTGTATGCCATGGAATGGAATACCGGCAAATGTTGATCACAAAAAATCGACATCAGAATCGTCATCAAATGATGTAAGTGATTTAATCACTTTTCAAGTGAATTTTTTTTGTTTTAATCTTCTACTATTCACAGTCGATCTCTTGCGGTTACAAAAGCAATGACCATATTGCACCCAATTCGGTTAAACAATCGCCACATTCATTTGAGTCGATGGATTCGATTTGGCCAGGTAATGCGTTTTAGCTATACATTTGCCGGTATCCATACATTTTAATTGCATGTTACATCGTGATAGGTATGGAAAATCGTCGTTGGACATGGAACTCATCGGCAACAGGATCTTTGCCAATACGCCATCACGGTGAACTTAGTGCCAACCAACAACGGTACATGCAAAATCAATTGTCAACCAATGATGTATGCAAGTTGTAATGTATTTTGATGTATTCAAAATGTTTGTATGTCTATTGATTTGTCGATTTTCATTCCGTTTCATTGCAAAAACAACAAAGTCAAATAATTTCGGTTGGCAACCCAAACATGGTGCACTCAATCAGTACGATCAAATGGCATTTCATGAACGCGCAAGAAACAATTTGCATTTAGCAAATGGTAATTAAAGAATGATTTTGTGTGTATGGTTTTTTTATTGAAATTTTTATCTTGTTTCTATGCTGGAAAGGTGACGCACCACCGCCGCCGCAGCGCTATCAAAATGGCCATGCTATCAAAAAGCGATGCCCAAAAAAGAAATTGAAGAACGTGAGTATATTTTTGGCGGTCAAATTAAATCGAATGAAATCGATTAATTTCTTCTTTTACTTTTCAACACATCTCATATGTTCAACGCAAAGTTTTGTGCATTTTGTAAGAATAATGGCGAACGAGAGTACATTTGGCAATCACACCGTAATGTAGATGAACAAAATCGGACAAGATGTCCACGTCTACGTGCATTGGTTTGCGTTATTTGCGGTGCAACTGGCGATAATGCACACACCCGACGTTACTGTCCGGACCTTGAAATATACAAGGTTCAATAACATACAACAACGAATCACTGATTCATCATACTATGATCATCATAGTATCGGCTGCGATAAGTCTATAATGACAATGAATGTCTTTTTATCGTCATCCCAAATCTATGACTACTTAAGTAGTGTTTTCTTTTGATTTTACTTTTATATTATTACCATTTTTGTTTGAAATCGATTTGCATGTTTTTTTCTATTGACAATGCTCTCGAATGTTACAAATAAAACATTAAAAACTCGACTTTCATATTAAATCGGTAGTTTTTCTTTGGATTATTTGAAGATTTTTAGTTTTTTTTTCGTTTATTTTGGGCTAACACACATCGGAATGACTTGGAATTATATTATGATACATGTCATTGTGATGCTGAGATGATGATTTTTATTTATTAATTTTGGAAGCGATTGTCAAACAAATTGAATTTCGTTTGCATTAGATGGAAGCGAGTTCTTTTTGCTTCAAATAGTTACACAGTTCCATCTCAATGACATTTATCGGTGTTTCAAAAGCTAATGTTCCTATGATCGATACAAAAATCGTCACCACATAAACCACAATGAACATGTTATACTGTAAAGATAAAAAAATTTGAAGCACGAATCATTACTTTTTTTTACTGTTTCTTTTTAAAAGCTGTTTTTTAAAAGTTAACTGTCTTGATTCAAGACGCAATTGATGAATAAGTTATTATGGAAATGGCAATAATTTTTTCGATTGTAACATTTTTAAAATATGTGTGAGTAATCAAATCTTCTCGAATTCCATCTGGTCCATCTATGAATGAAATTTGAACATCGTCCTTGGTGTCATAAAATCAATGAATTCCATTTCAAAATCCGTCGTCGCCCGAACTAAACTTATAAACGTATTAATTGTACGAAAATGTAAGAGTTCGTTTGGCGTTTCAAGATCATGCAACACCATTGGATGAATTTGATTTAAAGAGTATAAAGTGTACTCAATATTCATTGTATGAGACCTGTTTTTAGGAGACAGTATTTAATTAAAAATGGTGGTGGATAAATACTGTATAAAATTTGAATATCGTATTTAGTCCTTTTTCGAATTGGAACATATTTTTCCGGATGCGAGTAGGAATGGACGTTGATCATATCGTAATTATATTTTTCACGAACGAATTCAATAAAGAAATTGATTGTTTTATTGGTAACGGGAGTATTTGGCTTTATGATCTCGTTTAATACTCTCTCATTTACATTCACACAATCAATAATATTGACGTACAAGAAAATGGGAAGACATCTGAATTTAAACAAAAACTTGATTCGATTAAAAATGAAAAGATTGAATGATTATTTTCACTTACAATATAAACGACAACCACGATGACATAATTTTATCGAATAATAATGTCATTCTTGATGTATAAAAACAATTCATTACTTCTTTTTCTCAAATTCACTTCAGTGCATAAAGTGTTCAAAACTATACAGAACGTCTCACTCGTTGAGCCGTCAATTTATAAATGGAAATTAGACGAAATATAGCAATCTAATTAAGTATCACTGACATTCCAATCTACAAAATGTGTTATCAAAATCAGCCTGGAATTATTACTAGTATTCTACCTTTTAATATTCGAATTGCCAAAAAATCTTCAATTTTTTTCCCATGAAAACATATTTGTCGCATGCAGACATTATAATGAGATATTTTCAGCCAGATGAATCAGCTCAGCCAGATATCATCAGGAGCTGAAATTTAGGGAAAACAATAGAAGTGATTGTTATGGTTATAATTACACTTGGATTGCTGCAATCACTATAACAATCACTTTCATTGTTTTCACTCCATTTCAGCTCCTGACTATATCTGGCTGAGCTGATTCAGCTGGCTGAAAATATCTCATTATAATATCTGGTCGCATGTGCTAATCGTCATAGATCGATGCCAAGAAATGAATAATCAACATATTTTATATTTGAAATTATTTATTTCTTTTGAAATTTTACAAAATATTATTAAATCTTCATAAATAAATAATATTGTAATAATCCATAATTTATGTTTATATCTCAACAAAAATAAATCGAACATGAATTCCAATCGAGCGCAAAAGTATACAATCTCAATGTCGTATGTCTGTGCTATAATTTGTGAATTTTATATTTTTATTTAAAAAAATGTACATATTTTTCAATAGCAAAATATTCAAAAAATCTCTTTTGTCATGTTTTTACATCTTCTGTATAAAACTGTGAGTATTTAACTGAGGTAAACTTCCATGCATTCTTGTGCCTCCTCCTGTAAGTTTTCCAGTTTTTCTAACAGCATCACCTGCAACATGATTTAATTTCAATTTAAGGTTAAGTTGGTTGAATATATTTTTATTTCCACAAATGTCCATACCTTTGCTGCGGAGACGAGCTGATTTGCCAGTCGATTTGTCATGTGTTCAATATTATCCACCAATTCTTTTGGTTTTGCTCTTGCAACATCCTCGATTTTCTTGTATCCGGCATTATACAGTTGCTTCGCACGTCCCTTCAAGTCAAAAAGAAAAGTCAGTCAGATTTCACCCGTAATCGATTTTTGTTGTAAATTACCATTTTAACGGAGGGCAGTTGCATTAGTGGAACTAGTTCTACTGTACAGATATTGCTCAGTCTTTGCGACAAATTTTTGAAGAGTTCTCGAAATGCCCAAAATTCTTCAAGTTCCTCGCAGAACTTGAGCAGGCAACTTGCCTCGATTGCAGCCATACCCATGAGATTTTGCGCAATCCCGCGATCAATGCCAAACGAATTTGCAGCATCAGACACCGGTTTGAGGTGCCAAAGTTCATTCAACACCATTGTCATGAAAAATTTCTTTATGACACGCTCATGTTCGGGCTACAAATACAAAATCTGTTAGTATCTATTGGCACTTCTTTGAATTTTCATTGTTCTACCTTAATCGCTTGTCCCGACATTAATTTAATCACAGTCGACTCGGCAATGCCTATGATTTTGGCGGTGTGCAACTGATTCTGGTCAAGTTCGTAATACTACAAATGAAAACGGTTAAGATTTGAGTTTTTTAAAAAGTACCACAAGTTTTACCTTTTTGTAAAACACATTTCGATCCGGCATGGGCGGTGGATTGTATTCGTCATACGGAGTAACGATATACAACAAATGAAAATAGTCGAGTAAAACAAGGCTTTTTTGTGCACCTTGTAGATCGGTGTAGACAATTTTCGTTCGATTAAAATCAATTCCGGATTTGAATGACGATTTACCGAGCATTTCGACCTGTAATCGTGTCGACGATTTCAAAACTAGCCGTTTTCTTTGGCTTAGATCAATTTCTGTGCTAAAGGTTGTCTCATGTAGACTTTGAGATGATGATGGAACGGGGTTTGTGAATTCAGGCTTGGTATTTGAGTCGGTTGTGACTGCTTTTGATCGGATGAGTTTTACAATAATGCTATTTGTCAGAGTTTTCGCGTCTTTGTCATCGAACCGATTCGATTGAATACTAAACATAGTACGAGCGACAAGTTTTTGCAATTCGGCTTGAGTTGTTGCGATATTTAGTCCAATTGCACTTAGAATCATCGCTTCCAATGCTCGTGAATCACTATTTGGCATTTGACTAATTACCTCATCCATTGGTGAGCATAACAGCTCACAAACTCTTTGGTTATCCTTGTAATTACATAATAAAATGCTTTCACCACTCTCACCAAATCCGGCTCGACCAGCACGACCTACCATCTGAACGGAAATGGAAAGAGATTTTATTCCTGTTGCCAATGTGAATTCTTTTCCAGTCACTTACCTGTTTGTATTTGCTGAGGGTAATAAACTCTCTCCCCACATAGGGCGATCGAATGATGACGCGTTTGGCCGGCAAATTCACACCCGCCGCCAGTGTAGATGTGCAGCAAATTACGCATAAAACACCACACCGAAATGCCTCCTCCAAGTGACGACGTTCGTCGGTGGTCAAGCCAGAATGATGATAGGCAATGCCACACATGATGCTGCGGCCAAGAATTGGACATATTACACTGCCCATATCATTTTCAATCGCTTTTATCAAATTTTCTCGTTCGGCAATTTTGTGTTCGGTGAACTTTTTCGGGAGCATGGTACACAGTAGTTTGGTGAGACTTTCACAGTTTTTCTTCGTCGAGCAAAAGATTAAACATGACTTGGTTGGTATCACTTCACTCACCAAGCCGGCAACATGATCTGGATCTTTTTTCAATGCATCTGCTTTGTACTAAAAAAAATGATTTTGAAAAAAAAAACATGCTTTACATGTCCTCCCAAAAGAATGTCTTACATTGAATGAGATCGTTCTCTCCGGTACAAATGCATTTTGAATGCAATCGGCATCTTTTTTCAGTTCAACCAAATCCGATCCGCATTTAATGTATTCACGCAACTCAACCGGTCGAAAGTCCTTTTTGTAGAAAAGTAAGAATTTGCATTATACACGTCATCATTTGGAATAAAATCACCGTACTTATCCAAGTCGAATGAAAAATACCTTTTGGTAGACATCAGCATCCAAAAATTCAGCCAATTCGGGTAGATTTCCGATGGTCGCACTCATTCCCACAATTTGTATGCCAGCTAAATGTTGATATTCAATGATGAAAAAATGATGTCCGTTTACAATCAATCGAATGAAAAAATTACCCTTGACATATTGAATTTTTGTGAGTAGAGCCTCCAAAGTGGCACCTCTGCCCGATTCTCCAATTATATGCAACTCATCGATAATCACAAGTCCAATTTCATCAACTCGGCCTGCTTCAATTAGACTGTCGAACATGACGAGCGCTTTTTCAATCGTTGCAATATACACTGATTTCTTCTTGCGTCGTTTACGTGGCGGTACAGTTCCTTTGTAATGAAAAATTTTGAAACTTGAAACAAAAATGCTTACGATAGTGATAAATAAAAGAATGAACCTTTGCCGGCTGCGTATTCTTCAATCAGAAATCCTAATTCCAATGCAAATGGTGACAATGACCATACCTTCTCTTGAACAATCGAAACATATGGCAGAATGAATATGCAACTCTTTTGGCGACACAAAATTTCGCGAAATATCAAAATTTCCGACACCAATGTTTTTCCGCCGGATGTTGGCAGGGCGTAGATAAGATTCTTCTTCTGTTCAATGGCAGGCAATTGAAGGCATTCCTTTTGCCAATCTGAAAGAGGGTCAGAAAATGTGAAACAATTTTCGAAATAAAAATGTTCTTTTGACATCCACCACAGTCTTACCATATAAATCGTCAATGTTTTTGAAATTTCTGATTAGCTTCTTTACTTTCAACGGCAACCCAAAAAAAGGACCCATTGAACAGTATTTGGCAGCGGTGACTGGCAGCGTTTCTGATCGATTAATCGTTGTAACTGTGTTGTGTGAAACTCTTTTGGAACCGATTGATTCGTTGTGTTTCGTTGCATTTTGATGATTTTCTTTGTCATCTTCATCGGAAAAAATGTTCAACGCACTTGAATCCGGGTCAATGCATTCATTTAGTTGCTCCGAATCGTCCAAAAAATCATTCTCATTGATTCCCTCCAGTAATTGATCTTCGAGTAATTCTGTGCTTTTAGCCAGCGCTAAAAAATGAAGAGGAAAAATGAGTTGAATGTGCATCTTTTGACCATTTTAACAATTTACCTTGTGTAGTGAGTACCTAAGGGGAGAATCACAAAAGAAAAGAATGAAATTTAAAATAATCGATAAGTAATCGGAAAATAATCGAAAATAATCGGATGGTAGTGAGTACCATTTCGGCTAACAATTGATCTTCGATCGTCTCTGTATTTAGCTCTGTCGATGGGCCGAGAAAAACTTTCTTGTCTGTAGCTCTGGGTATAATCTCAGAAATCGATTGTTCGTTCGGTCGTTTGCGATGCATGTACTGTGATTCGGTTACATGACTTTTGAACACTTCGAATTGGCATTGGTCCGGATTCAAAAAGTCTTGCGTATCAAATTTGCTCGCATTTATTGTGTCATTGCAAATTGAACTGATGTTCGTTTGCAACACTGACAGTTCTTTCAGAAATGCTTGACTAGATTGTATCATAAAATCAATGGAATCCGGATCTTTATCGCCATTGTCACCATGATCCCGTTCCTCTACGAAATCTTCTTTGTATTCGATTGGCTCATTTTCTTCACCATCAAGTGGTTCTTTTTCGAACTGTGATGTGAATTGCCAATTTTCATTTTTGTCCGTTTCGAATTCATTATTTGGTTCATTTATATCGATGACACTGGATTCATCCGTTATGCATCTTTGACCGGATGTAATTGATCTTTCGAATTGAGTTTCATCCAAAAATTGCGACAATCCATCAATTTGTGTGAAATTATAATCACTCATAGACGTATTGTGAGTGCCTTTTGATTTTTGAATAATCGACGTTTCGGCATCAGAAATTTGTCGAATGAATTGTGACCGAAAAAATTGCGAAAAATTATCGTCGAAAGGATCGGTTTCCTTTTTGCGTGGTTCCGGTGTTGCGATTGTCGTTGACAGTAATTTGCACTTTTTTCTATTCAACGGTGAATTCGGGCCTTCATCACTGTATCGCTTCAGAGTTTTCGGCTTCTTAAACTCCATTTTGCAGGAATATACACTGAGATCACATCTATTTTTAACAATTTATCTAAAGAACATTGCACTTTGAAACGAAAAACATTTAAAAATAAATCGGAAATGTCAAAGATTTTGTTTCATATTGTGAAAAAATTGTTTACATCTCATAAACAGGTCACAACGAAAACAGCGGCAAAAAATTGTACACAAATGTCATAAACGTTGTCAACTCACCACACTTAAATTCAACATTTTTCCACTCTGCTCTATTCCAATTGGATTCAAATACACTCGCAATGTTATTGATATTGAATGGAATTGTGTGATGTCAAAACTACATCTGGAATGTGCGTTAAAATTAAGTTTTTTTATTCTTTTGAATTTTATTGTTGATTTTTCTACTATTTTATGTGAAATATATTCAACGTATTTAACTGCGATCTGTATTTGATAAATCGATGTTTCGACTGACATAGATGGAGATTTATCTTTCATCAAAATTCTGTTAAATTTGTGCGATTGTATTTAGCAACTCTTTTGTTCATTGTCCCGATGTTGTGAATATCTTTTTTTGGATTGAATTTTATTAAAACATACTGCAACAAAGACAGCGGCAAACTTGAATACAAGTGTCAAATGTCATTCCAACAACTCACCACACTCAATATTTTCACTCATTTTGGTTCAGTTGTTCGAATACTAATTCGTGATTGCTATCGCGATCATGAGTGAAACTGTTCACTAACAAATCCACCATAGAAAATAATTATAACATTAGTTGAAACAAGAAAATTAGGTGTACAAACTATTTCGTGTGAATTTTACTGTCGGACTTTGATTGGAGAATTAAGTGTGTGAATAGAATCTTTCATTCTCTGTAAAGTTCCCTGTTTGGGTGACAAAGTTTGCTTCTGTGATATTTTTTGAGTGCTGATACGTCATTATCAAATTAGCTCCCTCCCTTCACTATTTTGCAACATCTTTTACAAACGAGAGAAAAACAATTTGCGAGCTAATAGCTTCAATTTCAATGAATTGAGTTCGAGTAATATAGTGCCTTTTTTATATTGTGTTATCTTTTTTCTTCGTATATAAATAATTTTGTCAAATTTGTGTTTACAAAGTCGGTCATTGATCCGATCGATTAGAAGTACGCATACAAATACGGCAAACAGTGTAACGAATTGAATGTTCTTTTTGATTTGGTATTTGCTTTTTGCTGTTTCGTTTCCAAGAGAAACTGCTGTCGATGTTAAAACTTATACGCACTGTATTCAAATCGCACTAAATCGGGGTCGATAGGTCACTAAGCAGCTTCGCGTATATTCGTTTAATTATTGTTGTTCTTTTTTCCATTTTTTATGGCAAACGACAATATCGCGCAGTTATTAAGCCATTGTTAAATGAAGTGTGAATGGTGAATAAAGAAGTGCTTTGGCCACAATTTTGAAGCAACACCATATTTGAATATATTTTTCCGCGACATCATAGCAGTAAATGAATTTCATTCGTAAGCACGTATTTTGCAAGCATTTTACGAAACAAGTCGTACTGAGTGGCAATCAAACGATGTCTACAGATAACAAGTAATATTGACGTATGTCATTTTTATTATTGATTTGTGATTATAATGTGAATTGTATTTGCAGAGCAATCTCATTTGATTCAATCAACGATAAATCGTTATTCCCCGATTTGCCAAACGGGCCACTTGATCGATATCGGAAAAATGCAAAGTTCGATTGGCGAAAGTTGGCCTTGACATTGGACGACGAGAGATGTCTTCGGTTTCGAGTAAGTAACTGTGAGATAACAAATATAAAACGTTTTGAATCCACTTTTCAAGCGAAGACTCTTTAAAATAGAATAATGTGTGGAAATATCTGGAGGATAATCATTTATTTGCACGAAGCCATGAAGAACAAACACTAGATGAATATCGTGAAATAACCGTCCGTCGAATAAACCAAATCGTTGAAAAAGAATTTGTCTCTTTGGCCGATGTGAGTGATTATTATTGAAAAATTGCCGAATGTGTTTAAAAATGAAAGAAATTTTCTATTAGTTTATTCTTGAACCAGAAATAACATTCACTTTCGTCAGCTCATTGATTGCATACGATCCGAGTCCAACGATAAAAGCTAGTTTAAGTTCCAAAATGTTCCCGGGCGTCCTCAGGACAATGGGCACGGAACGTCTTGTAAAATATGCCGAAGCCGCTGAAGATGGCTTCATTACCGGCTGCTTCGCTTTAACTGAGGTTTCACACGGATCAAATGCACTGGGAATGCGAACAACAGCCACTTATGACGTTAAAAATCGACAGTTCATCATAAATACTCCGGATTTTGAGGCAGCAAAATGTTGGATTGGTAACTTAGGTAAATAAGGCATAAATTACCGCTTTATGTAAACAAATTTTTCTAGAAATTCTTTTGTTAAAACACCGAAATAATCCCAACGGTACTTTATCGAGAAAAACAAGTTTTTTTTTAGATATTGACAGTAATTTTTAACTTGAACTTGATAAAAACAGGTAAAACTGCCACACATGCAATTGTTTATGCTCAATTGTATACTCCGGATGGTCAACACCATGGTTTGAATGGATTTATGGTGCCGATTCGTGATCCAAAGACATTAGAACCATTCGCAGGCATCATCGTTGGCGATTTAGGAGAGAAAATTGGTTTGAATGGTGTCGATAATGGATTTGTTTTGTTCAACAATTACCGAATTCCAAAGGAATTTTTATTGTCGCGCACGGGTGATATATCGGACGATGGCCAGTATATATCACCGATTAAAAATAATAAAAAGAGAATCGGTGCGTCGTTCGGTGCATTAAGCGGTGGACGTGTTAATATTTGTGGAATTTCCAATACATATTTGATCAAAGCGATTTCGATCGCTGTGCGATATTCGGCCAGTCGAACACAATTCAAAGATGACGATACAGATGCCGATGAATTGCCAATATTAGAGTATCAAAGCCAACAATATCGTTTATTGCCGCATCTCTCCACCGCAATCGTACAAAAGGTGTTTACCATGTGGTTTGCATGTACGTTTAACGAATTTTCGAAAAGTTTCTTTACGGGCGAAATCGTACCATATGTGGGAAACGAAATACATGCATTGTCCACAGCAAGTAAACCGGTTTGCACGTGGGCAGTACGCGATGCAATTCAAGATTGTCGTGAAGCCACTGGTGGACATGGTTACTTGAAAGGTATATATTTATCTCGAGTTTTTTTTATGCCTCGACTAAATTTAGATTTTGGGTTTTTTTGAAATGACTAAATTTATTTTATTTACGCGCAGTTGCCGGTTTGGGTGACTTGAGAAATGATAATGATCCAAACTGTACATATGAAGGTGAAAATAATGTATTATTACAACAAGCCAGCAATTGGCTTTTATCGTGTCGAAAACAAAAAAATGGATATGCATCCTTTGCTGAAACATCGCCATTGAAGTCGGCACAGTTTTTAAGTTCGTTTGATAAGATCATCAAGCAAAAATGCAACTGGACCACGTCACAAGCGGCTCTTAATCCAGAAAGTAGGTTTTTTTTATGCAATGACATTTTTTTAATATTGTGCAATGTAATATGAACTGTTTCTAGACATTTTGACTGCTTTGAACTGGCTGGTGGCATGGCTTTTGGAAAATACGTACCAATACTCATTGGAATTACAGAAGAGTGGCTTGAGTACATTTAATGTACGAAATAACATCCAAGTATTCAACGCACAAACACTTTCAATTGTTTATGGTCAGGTGAGTCACCACCGTTGTTTATGACCAGCGACGATGCTTTTGTCGACATTAAGTTTTAATATCTTATCAACATTGACTTCATTTTCATTCCTTTTCATGTAAATTAACGATTCAGAGAGCAATCCTCAGCGTATTTTGGGAATTTGTATCGAAATTGGACAATAGCCCAGAGCGTGCCGTCCTTGAACGAATTGCATCAATGTACGGTGCCAATTTATTATTACGACACATTGGACTCTTTTATGAGGTAATAATTATAATAATTCATTTTTTTTTGACCGAACATATTTTTTAATGTTTTAAAAAACTTGACTCTTCACATTGAACGCTTCAACTCAAGAGAGTACCAACAGTCTTACCGAATTATTATGTAACCAAATTTAATAATAAAAAATGTCTAATTCCAGGGTGGATACATAACATCTTCGCACCCTGTTCAACTACTAAAAACCGGAGTGATTGAGCTCTTGCCACAATTAAAAGATGATGCGATACCGTTAGTGGACGTGATTGCACCGAATGATTTTATATTGAATTCTCCATTGGGCATGAGTGATGGTGAAGTGTACAAGCATTTACAATCAATTTTATGGCAAACTTCATCGACATTCGAGCGTCCAAAATGGTGGAAGTTAGTTACGCACTGGAAAAATACCGAAAATAGATCCAAATTATAGACAAACAAATAAGAAAAGCAATTTCATTGGTTGCATTGGTGTTTAGATAAATGTAATATTAATATCTGGTGATTTAGTACATAAAAAGCTTGAATTTTTATTCTTAATTATAAATTTTTATTATTTGGGTAAATTGGTACAAAAAATAAAGACATTTTTTTATTATTCTTAAAATTCCAAAATTTATGATACCTTCAATTATATTATCACGTTGAATTTCGGTTCTAAATTGGAGAAGCTTCGACATTACGGTCTTTCTTATGTATTATAAAATATATTCTTCATGGAAACATGCACATCGATTTCATGAAGTTACTTTGGAATGTGTTGGAAGTGTGTGGGATTGGAAATGTACAAAAATCGGCGCAAATATATTGATGAATTTGGAAAATAGTCAATATATATTCTTTTTATTGAGTTTTTATTTTTTTCGTTTATAATATATTAGTTTAATCATGGGAATTGTGGCAGAATGAAGAATTCTCCCAAATGAGAAACATGTAAAACAAATACACATTCTCATCTCTAAAGAGACACGTGCACACATAAAAATCACTGAGCCGTTTCAAGAACTTAATTCTAAATAAACATAAATGCGCACAAAACATCAAAAGAAATTCTACAAAATTATTTCACCATATGAAAACGTAAAACTAGAATTTCGGCAAAATGTGCGAACTTAAGATTGCTAGACATGTTTGTGTGTTGATTGCACAGCAAAACTTAAATGGAATAATTAGTTCTAGATGTTTTTTTTTGTTTTCTTTTCCTCATTCCGTTCAGCGCACAATATTCATATCGACTAAAATACTTAGTCATCGTTAGCAAAAATGACAATTATAAAATGAACTACGACAAACGAAAAAAAAATACAATGAAAACAAAAGAACCGCGCCAAAATGACACGGCTTCTTTTCTAGTTGGACAATTCTCTTTTGCACATTAAGTTAACTTTTATACATATGCTATATATTTTATTTTACTTATTTACAAAACGAAAGTGTGGGGCGTAGAACTGAAATAAAGAACCAAAAAAGTGTACAGAGTGAATTGTACGTATTTTGTGTGTTTGTGTTTGCTGGATTTCCGCTTCCGTTGCATTAAAATAGAAAGAAAGACCTAGTAATCCGTTTTGCCGTTGGGATATGATAATTGTAAATGTGTGTGTTTGTGTAACCTCTTAATTCAACCTTATTATATATTTGTCATATATTTTCATTTTTTGCCTTTGATTACTTTCTTCAAGCCATACGAATTAATGGCTTTATATTCACGATCGCACTGCTGCAACATTTCATACCATTGATCGCCATCGACACGCGGATATTCGGAATGACCACCATATGCGGCTGGTAAACACTTTGGTGACATGTGTTTGTGCAGCGATGCCAAATCCGAACCATGGAAATAGATGCGATTACGTAATTTTTCGCGTAAAAATGGTTTGAACAAGGCAAAGACAACTTGGAAGATTTTGGGCTGATTTACAATGTGAATTGCCTTTATTCGGAGTGGCACACTATCTTGTAGCCAATCCACAATACGCTTTGCAAAGGCAGGTGTGAATTGCCAAGTTTGTTGCAACGACAATCCATTCATGTCAAATATTACAACCGCCCCATGAACTTGAGTCTCCGGTTCGAGGGTTGCTGCTTCCAAAAAGATTACACATCCTTTGAACACTTCGTCCAGCGAAACTTCTTTGTGCTTCCAGCGCTCTGGAAATGAATCAAAAACAACCGAATTTATTCAATCGTATTTATTTTCATCGCAGCTTTTTATAACGATTGAATTCATTTTATCACATTTTCACAAGAAGAAAAATACTCACTTCCAAGTTCCAACAACAAGATTCGGCGGCCCAATTGATCACGATTTGGGAACACCACCAAAATATTATGTTTGAAAATATTCGCTTCACTTGATGGCATCAAATCTTCATAGACATCCTTATGCTTTTCCTTGAATTGATAATAGTTTCTTATCTAAAAGCGGGGGAAAAACAAATTAGCTATTCAGATTAAATAAACAAACAAAAAAAAAACATTCAAAATGTGAAAAAACAGAAGTATGTCAAAAAATCTGTTGAAGCTGATTTGATGAAAAGAAACTGGTTTTGATGATAATGAAATTTAAAAAAAATGCGATACGTACCAATTTCCTAGCGCTGTCTGGGTAAAATTTGCATGGGCGCAAAAATCGTACAATCCATTCGTCATTGTCGATTGGAATATACAAATCGGTGTCCTCTATTAAATTAAAAAACAAAAAACAATGAGTTTATCGAGAAAAAATGTGATTTTTAAATAACAATCGATCAACTTACGTTGCAATAGATTTCTCAATTCTTCAATTGCCTTTTCTTTGATTTCAGTTGTTTCGCGCAACTCTTTGATCGCAACTTCACGGCCGAATGGCGATAGCGCGTCCAAATCGAAGCGAAGATAATCGGTGTCTGACAATTTTATTGCCGGAAGATCAGATAAGTCGGACAACATATCGAATCTATGGAACAAAAGACAAATAAACATTATAATTAGTAAAACACACACAAAACTAGACAACTTTTCTTTTCAACGCATTAAAATTCGTAACCTATCGATTTTGTTTCAGACAATTAATCGAATTAGCAAAGTCATATTGTAAACAGCCAAAAATACGAAAGGTGGACGAAAATAACAGCATCAACAGCTTTTTTTGTTTCAGAATTTGTCTGATCGGCGCATACGCATTTACACTTTGTCGAGACTCTCAATTCAAAAGAATGCAAAATATGTTCGCACACAATCGCCGTCTGTTTGTAGCTCATTACAATAATAATAATAATAATGTTGTTTATTTTTGTATAATTTTATCGGCGATCGACGTAAAGCTCACAACAGACAGATAGTGACATGCACACGGATATGAATCACGTTCAGAAGGAAATCAGTTTCTCTTCGTTTCCGCTAAAAAATCGTTCGTATAGAACTTATTTATCGGTCGCAATTTATGCAAATGCGTTTGTCTATTTACACACATGTGCATGCAAGTGTATTTCAATATTGAAAATTCGAAAATGATATATATATTGCTCGTAAATGTATTTGCACTTGGCTAGAATCGTTCGATAGAGTGACACAAAGAAGGCTAATTCAATGTGAACCACTTTATATGCGTTTGATATGGGTATTGACTAATTAGTATATTGAACAACAACAACAACAGAAATATATATATATATTTATTGGTCCCTTGACATCATTCAACGGTCAAATTGTATTACATTGGGCTGAAATTATTCACACTTCGAAATTGGTCTTCGAATATATATTTTGACCATAAAAAGAGCACCAAATATGCCGGACAACATTTAACAACATGGGTGACCCGTGAATGAATCAAGAAGAATATAAATAGCAAATCAATGGAATCGTACACACAATGCAATAATATCTAAAATTGAACACGTTTTATTGCCTGCGTTTAAAGTTTTTATGTGCACTTGAAATGATATTTATAACAAAGACCATAGTGGGTTATATAAACAACGTCTTTTTTCCACATTTTGAATTCTTTTTAGAAAAAAATTAGTTTAAAATTCACAATTAACACAAAGTCGCCTCAAAAATAGATACAAATTGATATGGAAAAATATTCGATCAGCTTTATTCAATTGTTTATTCGTTCAACACGCGTGTCGAACTGACCGTTTTGCACAGAGATAGAAACAGCAAAAAACGACCCAATCGAACAAGCAAAGAAAGAAAAATTATTCCAAATTTTTCAGTTTTATTCGGAAATTATAATTTTAGTGGTATTTAATTACTCATTTGAATATTCAACGATATGATCGTGTGTTTGAAACGGAATGCATGACATGATCTATGGCAATAAAACAGCCAATTTGTGGCAATTTGTCTATTTGTTCAACTGTTTACTTGCAAAAAATGATATGTGTATGATTTTGGGCTCTTCCTAAGAAGACCATCAGATAAATGAATTGATCTTCGGACCCAATTGACCGAATGACAAATTTTCAAGAAATTCTTGAAAATCGGAAACTTGTAAATAACAAAACTTTGTTTAAATCAAATGCAATCTACCGGATTTGGCAAAAACCTTTGATTTTTACTACAAACTTCTTGTGATTGCAGCAAATCTACCATTCTTTCTTCACAATTCTCTTAAAAATGTCAAAAACTTATTGGTGTTGTCACAATTTATTTTTACTTTGTTTTAAATATATCGATGATGAAGAAGCAAACAAAATTAAAGAAAAAAAAAATTAATAAAGTTACAAACGTTTTGTGTGATATTCTGGAAACACGGTAGTTTTTAATTTACACAATTATATTTCTCTCACAAACAATAATTTTTTCTTTCTCCGTCTTCTTTCGTCTGTGTTTTGATGAAGAATGAAAGACCGCGTACGCTATCGAGTACAACAGTTCGTAATCATAACCCAAGCAATACTGATGATAAATGAATAGTTCATTGGTTTTATGAACGCCTCGGCTTTTTCGTTGCGGTCACTCAGAGTGAGTCGACGTTTATATTTTGCAATGTTTTCGATCTCACATCATATCATATTAGCGGTTGTGTGTTAATGCTACGGCTGCTGCCGTTGTGTGTGCAAACACAGTTGACGCAGATGTGTGTTGATTTATCGGTTTTATTTTACAACAAACACATACACTCAATGCATGTATTTTCGATATGGTCTTCGACGCCTGTTGAACGTACATTGCTGTGTAACAGATACGACTGTACAATTGTAGTTGTATGTGTGCACGTGTGTGTGTAGGTTTCATTCACTTGGACATTTGTTTGGGTTTCGATGTCTTCGTTTCGATTTTGTGTTTCGTCTTCAAACGAATGTATACCATTGGTACCACAGTCGAAACAAGAAAAAAAATACTCCATTCCAAATATTTATTGAATCATATGTGCTGTGAGCGCACACCGTTCGCAGAAGAACATTTTAGCTGATTAACAAGGTCAACAGCGGCAAATCGCCGTTAGATGAACATCTACCATATTCCAGATCTTTTTTTGTTTACCGGATTTTGCTTGCGAAACCACTGAATTTAAATCAAGTCATTTGGTTTGTTTAAAGGTTGAAATTGTAGGAAAAAAAAATCTTCATCAAGTTTAGATGAATATGAGAATAACAACAAGAAATTAAAAAAACACAAATACCTCGAATATATATGTAAACACTTTTCATAAATCTCGAATTTACTTAAAACGGATTTAACAATGTCAAGCAAATTAACGAATAACGAAAGTCAATTTTAATTTTTGTCCGTCATTTTACTTTATATATATGCATTCATAAGCACAATGCAACCCCCGTCTTTGCGTTAGATAATAAATCTCAATAATATTAACGATAATTATTATTCGTGACAAAACACTTGAGAGAGAAAAGAGAAAAACACTTGAAATGAAAATGTGTTTTTAATTAACTTTCCATTGACGGGCTAAAATGGTCGGGGTTAATGGAAAAAATCACATCAAGCGAGAAAAAAAAACTGTTCAGATTGCATGCAAAGGTCGTGTGTTTGTAATTTCCTCTGTGAATAGACTTGCATAAAGCCATTCAGAAAATTGGACTTGAGACCAAGCAGAAACGGCACGGTGCTCATGTCAAAAATTCTTCGATTTAAAGCGGCGAAATGTTTAATTTGTGTTATGGGCCGTTTTTTTCCGCTCATAGCATGAGTAATGCGTCAATAACTGAACGATTGTGGCATTGCACTTTACCACAGTCTTCTGTTCGAAAACAAAAGTATTGTGGAATTTATTGGATGTAATTTAATGCGAATTTTTTTTATTGTTTCACATTAATGTCGCATTGTGTGGTTACACCTGAATGTCACCGATCCAATGTTTTCTTTAAAAAACAATGGTAACCTTCAACTCGTTGACCAAAATCGGCGCACATTAAAAACATTGTGTGTTTCATCAGAATTTCGTTTGCAATGCGCTGTAATTCGAAAAAAATGACTGTTATTCGCACGAAATGCAGACAAACCACAATTTTAGAAGAGAATGTTCGATTTGGGTGTTTACTTTCAGCCGCGGACATGCGAAATAAACGTCACGTATTTTCAACGATTTAATGAGATTCTAACGCAACCGTATTGACGTCGGTCGAAACCAGTTCTATTTTGACGTCCATTTTTTTTTCGGCACTACAAGAGACACACCGAAAAAGAAATCCTCATCTAATACACCGGAATGGAACGTGTTCCCATCCGATCGACGTAATAACCGATCGATGCATATTACATTTTCGATAACATTTTCGAATGGATATTATAAAAAGTGTTAAATTTAGAATTCGAACAACAAAAAACCAGATATTTTTAATCTTTCGACTTTAAAATTCTTCACTCTTTCTTCGTTTTTATCTTCACTCACAATTGTTGTACATTAAAAATAGCATCGGTTTTTTTATCGGCACCAAAAGATTCCATGATGGATGAAAATAAAACTTAAATCCGATACACGCACGAACAAGAACACCCCGAGACACACGGTCTTTATTGATAATTGGATTGAAATAACTTAATGCGAGCACATTAATGTGGTAAATGCACATGACTCTTTGGTCAACCGACAATGTCGTATTTATAAAGTGGTCATGTACATATTTCAAGTGCAAAAGTGCGAAACATTTAGAACCAAACGGTTAAGGTGCATGAGTGTGTGTCTGTGTGTGTAATTCAACACCGAATAATTGAGCATGAAAAATCACAACGGTCATGACATTTTATGTCACATCAGCATAATGGCAACAGGCTGTTATGATTTCGAATGGAAATGTGTTTATATTACAAAAAAACCTCGAGCACATTTTAATCGCTTGGTGTTTTTGGTTCTTGAGTTAGGTTTGGTTACATTGTTTGTTTATATGCTAAAAAACAGCTTACATTTAATTGAAAACATCAAATTATCCGAAAACAAATTACGCTAGAGTTCATTCTAAAGATCAAAATCAACAATACACAGATACTTCATTCATCTATTTACCCATGAAGAGTGGTCGTAATCGCTACTTCGACCATGAAAGTGAGCGAAATACATTGTTGGCAAATTGTAGCTAAACAATCAATAAAGTTATCTAAATAAAAATCAAACCCATAATTACATAATTCTGATGTTATTTGTAACGCGAGCGGAATTTTCTAATTAGAATTTGTAGTTATTTGTTTTTCGTTCAATGATCCTCATAATTGCCGCTCGTTTGATAATTCAATTAAACACCTCCTCTCATTTCAAAAATTTCATTTTTTACAAAATATACATGTAGCATGTATCAAATTGATTTAGGAAGGGGAAATAACGCAAATAACAGAATAAAAAATCTAAGACAGAAAAAATGGTGTTGACCTTCGACATATCAAACGATCGTGCGATCACACAGATTTTGTAAGAGATTAATTCGATTTGCTAAACTCACAACTTCGACGTCATCAAATTTTAATATGGTATAGAAAACACCGGGTACACAAAAAAAATCGCACGCGAAACGATGTTTGTTTTGTAGGAAGCACTAAATATCACAGGAAAAGACAAAGAGAAAATTACGGCGAAGAACAAATCAAACTGTATGTGCTATGGAGAAATAGCAAACTTGTTTTCGTTCTCGATTTTTTCTATATCTTGTTCCGTGTCATTTTTAATTTTTTCCATAACGGGTGCTGATTTAGTATTATTATAAGTTGTGTGCATTTTTAATACACTTCAATTGGATATTTCGAAGGCTGATATAAATTAATCAGGAACAAAAAAACTAACGATATGAAGCGATAATGAATCTATTATCGATGGCTGCATTTATTTGGTTCCGATAATTTTTTGTATTTTTAGAGTTCTTTGCCATAGATAAGAACTTGATAGTTCTTTGAATCAGATCACTTCAATTTACAGTATGATCAAGTTTTTGTATAACATTGAACTTGACCATTTTCATTGGAATTTATTCGTAATTTTCCATTTAAATTGAAAAATGTTCATGCTCAAATTTTACAAATTTCATGTATACTTCGAAGATGTATGAAATAGGCACAAAAATCCAAGAACACTTTAATTCATCTCAATTCGAACTGGAGTGCAATGGTCCATAACAAACAATGTTAAGACTGAAGTTGTAATGAATCGCATAAAGTAAAAATCGTGAATGTATTTTACCTTGACATGTATGAATGTTTCAGTGGTTACAATTGTTTATGTTTATCGTTCAGATTAAACGAAGGTGCATCGACATTTAGATGGCCATTGACACGTCTTGCTTAGTCATAGCCGCAAAAGACGTGGTACACACGGAGATTCCGGTCGTGGAATTCTTGTTTTTAATCATGATGTGTAATTAGAATCGTTCACGATCTACGTCAATTCAATACTGTGTAATGTACGCTCATTATAAAAACGTTTCTAAGAAGAAGCGTTAAAGATAATTTGCCGATGGGGTCAGATTCTTTACGAGAATGTAAACCATTATGTAAATTTCCATAGACCAAAGTACTGTTTACAGTGTTTAATGATGATTTGAAAAAAAAATTACCCAAATTTTGTGTCAAAAATTGTTTACTTATCACAAGCCTTTCCAGTAGATGATATAAACATCAATGTTGTCTCATTTTTGGAATTTATAGTTATAATGACTGTTGTACATTCGATCTCTGACTCTCAAATTTTACAACAACGCCCCTTGACAAATGTGTACACGACCAGCAAAATTGATAACGTCACATTGATTAAGAAAAAAATATCAATTAAAATTAGTGACTGCAATTACCAAAATCGATAAGCGTGTCGAGATCTTTTTTTAGTTAAAAAATACTTCAATGAAAAAATCAACAAAACGATTGTAAACAAACTATTATCAGTGATGAGATTCTCACTTTAGAACTGATAAGAGCCAATTTTAAACGAAAGAACGCCCGTTCAAATTAATCATATATTGATATCGCATCGAAACTGATAAATAATTTTGAAAATTTTAAAATGAAACGTGAGTGCATGTCTCCGGAGAAAAAGAGAAGGAGAAAGAGAGATCGTTGAGCACATATTGAAGAACAGAGTATCGTGAATATGTTTATATAACTTGAAATGATGAAATGTGACTATAGTCATATAAACTGCAATTGAATACAGCAGCAGACTCGGCAGCACCACTGTATAATAAATCGGCTTTAAACAATTCACCATATGAAATGTTGCATTCTTGTTCCCATGTCAAGCGAATTCAATTGAGAAGCAACATGCAGATAGAGAGAGAGAGAGAGAGAGAATGCCTCCAGTAAATTTCCAAATACCACATATTGTGCAAAATGCAACATTTTCCGTTCAGTTTATGCTTGAAGATTGCACAACGGCAGTAAATTGCACATGGTTTTGGCTCACTATGTATCGTATGTGCGTCGCTATCACTTTTAATCGAGTGCAATTAGAAATACACTACACGCAAACCAATTGAATAAAATACTCACTGTGTGTGTGTGTGGACTGTATGCGGCCGTAAAATGAACGAATTGATGTATGTATAAATGTGAATGAAAGCGAAGCAAATAAAAAATAAAATGAAGACAAGAATAAAACTCGTACGATTGTGCCTACTGCGTTTGGTGGTTCGATTAAAACTGTATCAATCAACATAAAATGTTGGACTATTGGCTGCGTACGTTAATTCAAGTTCTACGGGTCGTGGTTTGTGCCTCTATCTCACTTGGTCTACGCACATGCAATATCGCTTTTCAAATATTATATATCAAACAAGTTCAAATAAAATTTGCACTTTTTCTATTTCGTTTCCCCCATTTTTGTCAATACTTTGTGATACTTTTTCTGCGCTACATTGTATATAATATATTTTTTTTAACAATTTAAAGAACGTTTTACAATTTGCAACATTTTCGTGTACAATTAGGTGCATCTCTAATAGATTTAATTATAATTCAGCGGAATTAATCAAAATTGCGGTTTATTTTTAGATTTAATTACTGATTGTGTTTAGGTAGTTTTTTTGTGTGTTTCATTTCACGCGATACAAAACCTCCCACTTAATCGTTATCAAACTACGAAAATGTCGGTAATTGATGATTTCTTTCTTCTAAATTGCCTGTTTATGCACACAATTACATTAAATTGCTTTTCTCGCAACATTATTTTTGTTTTCTTACATGTATACGAAGTTCGAGTGATTTTTGTTTCGGTTCTGATGTTAAAACCGGTTTTTTGAAGAAGCAACCAAATACGGTGAGATCAATTAACAGCCAATAGTTACGCAGAATAAATTGTGATGACCAATCTTTTGTGATATTTGCGCTTTCTATTAATGGCGGGCGTTTCATTCATTCTTGAACCATTGAACCAAACTGCGAATTCAGACAAATAAACAACGTATATGTTAAGTCTACTTAGAATAACAAAGGAATAAATGCAAACACAATAATATTGACACGCAGTTTGGAACACGTCATATTTGTAAATAACGAAATAAATTGATGTAAATGCACTCAATAACAATGTTAATAATAATACTTACACGTGTTAACGATTAACATACAAGCAATTTGACGTGAACTTCAGATTTTGTTCTCAAAACTGTTAAACAGATAATGCAGCTGAAAATTTCAGGCTGAAATAAAGAGAAAAAACGTTTGACGTGGGAAATTTCGAATAGTAAAAATGCGATATCATTTGTGAATAATAAAATGTCTTTATTTTCCACTTAATCAAAGATTCACTGGTGACTATAAAATTTTGACCATAATTGTGAGTCTGTTATTCTTACCACCTACCGTAGAGAGCGCGATTTTAATCGAATGGAGAACATAAAAAAAGTGTGATGTGGATGTTGATTTCGTACAAAAATTAATTGAGTTGCTTTTGATTTCGTTTCTAGAAAATAGGTCTTTTTTTAGTGGAAATACAAAAAACGTTAACCTGATAAAGTGGCCATTTTGATTGACATTAATTTGCCGTCTAATTAGGAAAATATTCTTAATATTAATTTCAGGTAGTCTAATATCAAGTGTGTGTGTGCAGTCGACAAACAAGAGTCGATATCAATTAATTATCTAAGCATTTTGTGGCCGCTACATACCATTTTGTCGAGTATTAATAATTCCGTAAATTAAATTTAATAATCTCTGGTCACCAATTCTGGTTGAATGGCAAACTACTTTATCAATAACTTTCATGTGTCTATATATCTCCGTTAAATGTCATTTATCGCTTTTAGTGCATATATAAGACGTAAAATGAGATCGACGTTGTTGTTGTTTTGTCTTATGTTTTCGGTCGAATTTTTTCGTAAAAGAATTGTTGATTTTGTGGCAAACTTTGACCCTGTACTTTTATCTTATTTTGCAATTTATAATTAAAGTGAAATTGTTGCAGTGCAAATTCATAGAAATCATGTTCCATTCGCCACACATCGGTTTTCTTTATTTCGGCTATTGTCTCCGGGCTCGGATCGATTTTTGATGTCGTCTGACGCAAATGTGACTTACTTGAGTTCAGATATTGATTCATTGATCCTTTAAATATTCTGTAAAATTTAATTGGATTTTGATTACTTTTTTAAATGAATTTTTAATTAATTCGAACATTCTTAGTGGAATATTCATTTGTTTACGTCATGATTTATTGGGTAATAAAATTTAATATACCTTGGCAACGATAATTCTAATAGATATATGAAATCTTCCATTTCCTCTGTTACACCAACTAAAAAGTAATGATTCACTAGATTATACTTGGCTTGTTCTAACGCCCACTGGCTACCGGGTCGCCTGTCAAATTCAAAAAAACATTATGTTTATATTTCAAATCGAATCAAATAAAAAATGAATGTACTCCAAAGAACTTAATACAAACCAGCATTCAGCCGCATGGCCACAAAAGAACGGCACTTGCAACCACATATATTTTATATCGCAATCCGGTTGTTTCCGCTTTATACATTCATCCAATGTCTAAATAAAACATTTAAAGTAGGTCAATAATTGCAAAATTTCCACGGTTTTTTCCATCAAATTTACCATTTTATCTCCTGCTTTTCTTCGCACCAAATTCGGTCGATAATTGTCTCCGTATCGCAAGAAATAGTAATAGGACACTAAACGATCTATTGGTCTTCTTATCAGATTTATATAAATTGGTTTTTGTGGAATTTGAAATCTGAAAATAAAAATGGGTAAAAATATTTAAAAAGAAAAATCATTTGAAAAGACAGTGAAGAGGGTAAGTAAACAGGATGAACAAACGAGTGATATAATAAAATTAAGATTTTATCGGTTTTGCCAAGACAAACTATAGACAAGTAAATATGAGTGCTATCATCACAAATTCAAATAATCTCGAAGGTTTTTTCTCATTTTATTGTCATTACAATCAAGAATCATATTCATTTCTAAGAAGATAATGATGAATGTAAACTTTCCGCCCTTGTCACATTTCATGCGAATTGATGCTATTTTGTAACCGGTTTGCGAATTTCCTGTGAAATTCTTCGAAATGAATTAAATTCACGTTCACTTTGTTTTCATATTTGATTTCATTGCACATAAAACCCATATATCATGGTACAAAATCCAAAGACATCGTAAATGGTCGTTTTGAAATCTAGACCGTTTGAATTAAATATAAAGAACTAACATGACGTTGTAAAAGCGTTTAAGTGTGTTTGCTGTAAATCTTAAACTTTTAGTTTAGCTAACAATGGCACATTGGTAACAATGGCCAATGAAAATAGATGGATGGATGTTTATTTACTTTTCGCAATGTAAACAAGTAAACAAAATGCAATTGCAACCAAATGGGTATGTTGAACTTGAAGTTCAAAACACATAGAGAATGATGGATGCTTTGAAATCATATTAAAACATTATTTATTTTGTGCAAATATTTTGAAATTGAGTGCAATGTAATTCTATTTTGTTATTGAAAACTTTCCATAAATACATAACGACCTAAGAGTCATTTCAATGTAATTTTCTTCGTAAAAGTGTCGTATAAAAATCAATTTTCTCGTTGACATTAAAAAATTTCCATAAAATACTACCAGAAATCACTGTACATTGTTTTGATTCAACACTGATTACTCACTTTGAAAAGTCGAGGTATGCCATATGGCCGTGATACAGCGCTGGTTTCATTTCATTCCAAGCACTTATGTTCCGAGCAAAGCTAATCTGTAAAAATGTACAATTATTCAATGAAAATTGCATAAACATTTAATTATGTCATCGTGATTATCGTGTGTCTATTTCGATTGTTGCTTACTTGGTTATTAAGTGATAGGACATGCATGTTTGCGGTGATATTAATATGCAGTACATAAAAATGGTTTTTTCTGCATAAATCATAGGCCAAATTGACGAAGCTGGTGGAGCCCGTTTTTGGTACGCGATTATAGATAACAATTAAATTATCATCAAATGAGTTAGTAATGTCGTGTGCATTGTGCGATTTGAGTGCATCTGCTTCTGCGTAGTTGTATGCCGCATTCTCTGTTGTTTCTATTTGAATACGTCCATCAAATATTAGTCGAATAATATGATTTACTGGTGCACATTGATTGATTTGTCAAATTCAATACTTACTCGCTTCCCAATAAAATCGTTCCATTCGAATGAAGTAGGACCAAACGCATAGCAATGAAAAGGCACCACTAGCTGCACAAAACACTAGCAACATCTTCCTTCTGGAAACCATTTTTTTACACTTCGATTTTCACATTAAAATTGCTTATTTTTTCCCGTATGATATGATTAACGATTGAATTGTATACTCTGAATATTATCTCTCTTATTGACTTTTGGACTACATTTTATAATGGCACAAACTCAATCTGCCGAGATAGGAAGTAAGTGCAGCAGCGAGAAAAAAAAAAACACAACTCAAAGCAAAATGTTGCAAACAAAAACAATGATTGAATAACTGCGATGGTATTTTTGTATGCATGCTCGGGTATGGCATGTCATACAACAAACTGTCAATGCTTTCATTCCATTGGAATAAAAAAAAACGTCAAAACAAACGCAAACTAATCCGATGACTGTTTGGCATGCTGTGTGAAACGGGTGGAAATATTTAAATTTTACGTTTGCATTTTTCATTCAAATGGCACGAAATGCAGTCGTTTCATTTAAAATATTTAATTATAAGAGAGAAAACGATGTTTCAAATGAAAATTGTATTTTCAATTAATACCGCTACACATTCCGTGCACATCGGGCACCACTACAAATGAACTGAGCCAATAAACTTCAAACCTAAAAAAACATTTTGCTTTCAATTTCACAATAAATATTCGACATTGAGTTTTGCAGAAGCTCTTCGTCCGAAACACAAATTTTTTTTGTGTCCATTTCATTTCGAGAAGCAATTTTAATCAATTTAAATAAATATCAAGACATAATTCTTCGAATTCAGTAGAGAAGAAGCACTACGTCTAAGATGGACTATTGATTTGAGCAAATACAATTTGAGTTGTGAGTCACGGTGTGTTTATTGTAAAAAGTGTTTTTCTATCGAAAAAAAAAACACACAGTCATATAGCAATTTGATAAAGACAATAACGAAGAAAGAGAATAAGAAGAAGAAGAAGTAGATCAACAAAGCGGGAGTTCATATACGATTTTTTTTTATTTTCGGTTCGGATTGGTGTGTGTTAGTGAGTGGAAAGTGAAGCTGTCAAAAAAAAGTAGTACGGTTTTGAGTCGCAGTAAATAGCACTAAACACGAACAAGGCATTTTTTTGTGGGCACGAGCTGAAAAGCTAAAATTCAATTACATTGATTATAAATTTTGTGTGAAATGAGCAAACATATGTATTCGACGGCGAATTTGAGTGACGTTGAGCTGAAAGACCAGGGCAATCGATTATTTTCTTCACGAAAATTTGACGATGCAATCAGCTGTTACACCAAAGCAATCGTAAGTTTATTCATGCTCATTTTTTTTGGCTGACACAATGCATTTATTTTGCGAAACATTTATTATTGTAATGTGTTGTTATTGGCGTCAATGTGTAGCGAATTCATAGACTAACAAGATTGTGAGCACGTAAAGTGATTTTGTGTACTATGATATACGTAATTAGATTATGAATGTTTTTCGGTTTTGTCGACTACTTCAAAGTCACTATTTTTGTCTGCAATAAATTATTATTAATATTCGTTCACACCATTGTAATGAGTTTATTGATTTTTTTTTGCATTGTATAGATAAAGAATCCCACAAATGCAACGTACTTCACAAACCGAGCATTATGCTACTTAAAACTAAAGCGATGGGAACAATCATGCCAGGACTGTCGTCGAGCATTGGACATGGATCAGAATTTGGTGAAGGGACACTTTTTCTTGGGTCAAAGCCTATTAGAATTAGAATACTACGATGAAGCAATCAAACACTTACAAAGAGGTACATGACAACAAAAAAACTATGCATCATTTGAAACAAATTGAATTTGGAATATTTGAAACAATGAAATCTGTTTGCACTGTTGGATTGAGTGGGATTCATCGTTTTGAAAAAAATCTCATTTGAAAAGAACGCTAAAATGTTAGATGTACACACCAGCTGAATTATCTTAATTCTCTCTTTTCATCGATTTTTTAAAAATTGCGAATCAAAATATGCTAGATAACAGCTACTGCCACCGTTCTCAATTGATGACTGTCCGTTATACACGACAATGTAAACATCGTTACATCTATCGATTTTACTCTATAGCATAAGTTGAAGTCGAATATTCCACGGATTTTAAACTGAATTCCATCTTATTCATTAAAATGGATGGATAAATAAAACACAATCATGTACAATTTGCAACGATTGGCAAGTCATTAAATGAAAATTCTTGAGTTTTATGCCGATAATTTATGGACGTTGTGGTGATAAATGTTTATCGTTTTTTCCACAACAAAAAATTATTGGATGTTTACATTTTAACGCACATTCACCAACTGATACAACTGGCAAACGCATTTTGTGCACAACTATGCCATATTTTTACCGTTTCAATTGGATGAATCTTGAATTTGAACATGACGATTTAATGTCTTTTATTTCAGCCTGTGATTTGGCAAAGGAACAAAAGCGAAACTTTGGCGATGACATTGCATTGCAGTTGAGGGCAGCCCGAAAAAAACGTTGGAATATCCAAGAAGAGCGTCGAATATGCCAAGAAATCCAATTGCAAACGTATTTGAATAAGTTAATTCAAGAGGATATGGAAAATCGATTGGCCAAACTCAAAACAGATGATACAAAGAACGAAGAGGTTATCAAAACAGAGTCCAGTCAAATCGAACAAGAATGTGTACGGAACTGTTTTCTTTTTTTGTAGTAAATTCTCATTTGAATTTTCTCTATTAATATAAAACGTACAATTTCAATTTTAGGAGAATAATATGACTGAAGTGAACAATATGTTTGCGAAAATCGATGATCGTCGTCGAGTAAGTAGAATTATTTTAGAAATTTGTTTGTTGATACCCGCCATACGTATCAGTTCTTATTTTAGAACATATGAGTCATCAATCTAAATGATATTCGAGTCATCACCGCCTATTTTTGGCGCCCACTCTGATACGCATTTTATGATATCAACACATTTCAAATCGAAAAATTATTCACTTTGATTAACTTTGTTTCAAATTCCTGTTTTGGTTCGCTCTTTGCAGAAACGTGACGTACCGGACTATCTATGCGGCAAAATTAGTTTTGAAATTCTGGCCGATCCGGTGATTACGCCCAGTGGCATAACATATGAACGAAAAGATATTGAGGAGCATCTACAGCGCGTTGGTCACTTTGATCCGGTGACCCGGGTAAAATTAACACAAGATCAATTGATACCCAACTTCAGTATGAAGGAAGTGGTCGACGCCTTTTTATCTGAAAACGAATGGGCCCATGACTACTAGAAATATGGTATTTTGTAAAGATGATTAAAAAAAAGAAATAAAAAAATGAAATCAATAGGATATAAAAATGATCAGGCTCCCCAATGCTCAGTGATTGACATAGGTACCTAATTTTGAACAAATGTAATAAGGTTTTTTTTTCATAGACTTCAAAAGTCATATCTCATTTCCACTATTGTATATTTGCGTACAGTGAAAAACATTTCAAAACTAGAACTGTATTAAAGCACTTTTACAACACCATCAAATTTAACTAAAACACACCGGTGTACCATTTCAGTCACAAACTTTTCTCTCAAACTTTTTGTTGTTATCCACATCGATTTAGTGCCGAAATAGTGATGATGAACCGCGATCACTGTTAATTTGTTCAATTCAAATGAAAGACCGCAGGTGTGGCGGTTAGGAAAGGTTAGTTAGTCGAAAGATTTGTTAATTATTGCCGACAAATTAACGTTGTTCATCAAACATACCCGAGATAAAATAGACGTTTTCAATCTATTTACATGATAAAGGGAGCTGAAGTTTATTTTTTTAAAATGATAATTCGTAATTCAATAAAACCTACACAAAATTTGATTGATTGTTTAAGAACTTAAACATTATTTAATGGAGAAATAAATCAAGTAAATGTGAAATATTCTTTGTTTTCATTCTTTTTTCATTCACTCCCTTTTTTGTTGTCGATGCAGGTGAAACAGGATAAAAAAGACGTGGCGATAAATCAAGAAGAACAATGCACTTGTTGCAAAAAACCAAATTTTATTTTTAAAAAAATGATTTCGAATAAGTTAGATGACTATAGATTAGAATCTCACGTGAAACAAACATTATATTTTAATATTTATATATCGAACTAAAATTCTATGACTACAAGTTTTACATAATTTTTATGAAGATCATTGCGAGTTGTCATTCATCAGACTTTATATCTGGTACAAAAGGTAAGATTTTCAATCAAAATACAATTCACAAACCCTTGTGGAAAATTACTGACTGACTAGTCAGTTAACTAATTTGGGACGTTTTTGGCTAAAACCAACTGAGATTAAAGTTGTTTTAAGTTGATTTGGATGATTTCCTAGTAGAGAAAAATAAAACTTGATTCAACTTCAATCTCAGTTGACTATAGACAAAAACGTCCCAAATTAGTCATCTGTTTAAAATGAGATACATAAACGACTAAAGTCGACTGGGTAGACGACTTCAGTTAACAAAATTCAATTTCAGTCGATTTCTAACTAGTCAGTCAGTCACTTTTTGCCACACGGGATCGTATTCAGTGAATGAAAAAACAAGTATTAATGAATTAATCTGTTTGCAAGTATTTTGAAATATATTCACTTCCCTCCTGCACGAATGATTTATTGCTTTGTATCATATTTTCCATGACATTCGCTTAAAATAACATGACTTTTTTTCGGTAAGAACAGCGTTCATTCATTATTCGCTTATTGTTCTGCAAACATATGTTTGTTTAATTGCATAATTGCTGCTATTCAGAGGAATTTCGTTGGCGTTCAAATGCTGCAGTAGTCAAATACGTTTGCGTGGCACGATATTTCAACATGTTTTTTACATCTAATTGTAGGAGACATAAAAACGCAATTTTTGCTTTTAAAGAATTTACCGAATACCTTTGGTTTTGTGAACAATCTTTCAATTTTCAAAGAATGTCTGTTTTTCTCGAAATAGCTATTTCGGAAGCAATAATTTTTTTCGTTGGAATTTTTGTGTAATTTTTTCAACGATGAACATTTTTATTTTTCATCATAGATTATATCATCGTCGTGCGGCGATAATAAGCGCATAATGTTTACTTTCAAAATAATATTAATCATCAAGCCCAATATATTTCATTTATTTCAAAGGGCTAATTTTTACTGTTTCATTATTTACCGTTTTCTTTTTCTTTAAGTAACTCGAGTTTGGTCGTACGATTATTGAATTTAATAACAAGGTATTTGGTTTGCGCATTAGATTCGTTGCGTCATGTGCATGAGATAGGCGCATACACACGCCTGCTGAAAAGCATATTAAAAGAATGTAATCGTAAAGTGCGCACGTGATGATTGTTTAGTCATCGAGGTTCAATCCATTAGTTGCTTTAAAAATGCTTTTAACGATTGGATTGAGCTCGCATGAGTCCAAACACCTCGGATAATTGCGCACTTATCATCACTTGAGCTTATAGCTATTGTCAATCAACCGCAATGAAGAATTGGCCAACTCAAAATACTATTAAAAAAAACCATTTATCCCCCATTTTTCTGAAATATAATTTCTATCTTTCTCCATCTCTGTCTCTCTTTGAGCATAATAGATCTGTTGTTGGGATGCTTCCCATCGTTAAAAAAAAATATTCAATTAAAAAAGGTCATAAATCGTTTATCATTTTAAAATATCATAAAAGACGGCAAAAATGTTTTTGCATCTCGTAAATATACTTTCAAACGCTTAACATGAGCATTCCTTCAATTGTCAATTACCATCGTAAATATTTAAAGTAATATACATGCGAATGAATTTACAACGATCATAAATCGTAATAAAAAAAACACATTTGACCGCTGGTGATCTTGCACGCTGACGACAAGCGCATATTTTCACATAATTATGCACATTAAAACGCACTCACTTCTGACAATGAACAATATTTCGTATTATTAAATAATTTCCTGAATAATTTAAAATCTATGATCGAAAACAAAAAAAAAATTGGTTATGAATTTTAAGTCATTATATTGCTTCCTGGTGTGATGAAATAGTTTAGATTAAATTCATCCCCGAATAGACCGTCGTCGTCGGTATCCGTCGTTGTATTCATATTGATGCCCAATTCAATTGGTTCCATATCACTCGATGCAAAATATTCACTGCAAAAATCATTGTTATTATTGCGTGATGAACGCAAACCACACTCGTGTACAATTTGATCTTTCGGCACCGGATTCAGATAGTCTGGGAAATCTAATATTATACGATTTTATTCAAATTTTTAAAATATAGATCTTTTTAATGCCGTACATACCGAGTATTGTTTGATCTTGGAAATTGAATGTGTTCGAATTGACTACTTGCACCTCAACCGTTCGCTTGACACCATTCAGTATTTCTCCGGCGCTCTTTTTCAGTTCGTCTTCACGACTGTGACTATCGTTGGCATGCATTGTCTTATGGTATTGAGCGTCAACCTTCACGACAGAAAAAACCATTAAATTAGCTAATTGAATATAATAGATCTTTTTTCTTGTGACTCACCTTTCCTCCCGGCGATTTGGATCTCTCCAATATTGACGTTAAACTGGCAACTGCAACTAAAGTCTCATCTTGGGATGATGGTGTTTGTGGCACTTCATTGTTTGGTTCTTCCGTGTGTCCAAAAGTTTTTTCCATTTTGAAGAATAATTCCAGTCTTTGTTTTTTCTACAAAATGTTGATACAATTAATTACTTGAGACCAAGGATAAACAAAGACATGTCACAACACGACCAAATTTATCTACGTAACATGTCAAAATAAAATGAATATTAAGAGAATTAACGTAATTAATTGATATACACTCACATGTTCCCATGCCAGTAAATTTGCTTCAGAATCTCTTGTTGATATGATCCATAAATGGCCGGCCCCTTGCGGCGCTTTATTACCTTTACGAAAATGCGGATTAATCGACAAATTATGCCTGACGGAATTTTTCCATCGGTCATCATTTGATTTATAAAATGGAAACCGATCTCTGGAAAGAAAGAGAAAATATTGGTACATTTCATGAGAAACGTAAACATAAAATATTATAAGACGTCATCATACGATGTGCAAAAAGAAAATGATTATGTAAACAAAAAAAACCGAATTATACTAAAATAGGTGGAACTTTTGGTATGGATATTGACGCAAAATATAATACAATAACGCGACAACACATATAAATGTAGAAATGTGGGATTGGTTTCAGTGAGGTGGTGACCAAACGGATCTGTATTTGCCATGCGCGTAAATAAATCATAATTCAAATTGGAAAGCAAACTATTCACATTAATAAAGAAATAAAATGGCGTATCGAATTCATCGCAGGAGACACAAACTTTTTTCTTTTGAGTTTGGAATTGTTGGCATGTAATTTGGATTTAAGTTTTTAAAATGTTTTGAATTTATATGCGTTGACAAATGACAATTAACATTGAAAAAGAACGAAAAACAAAGAAATCATTGAGCTTATAAATAACATCTCTTTCAGTTTTTAGATGTTCGTCGAGCTTGAATGATTCCAATTCGAATTTGGATAATGAATTTAATGTCCATCTGTACAAAAAAAACGTTTTGAAACGCAAATTGCTGGCTAATTTTCATTGCACACGATAAAGGGGACACCGCACGATAATAATTGTATGTTTTGATCGAAAAACCTGATGAAATTATTGCTCAATGCCAATAAAAAACCACCCTTATATCATGCTAATCACTCAGGGTCATAAATGCACAGCGATAAACGCCAATAAATGTTAATTTTTGATCACCGTATATACGTTTTTTGTTTCGAACAATTTTTTTGTATTCGATCGTTATCCCTTCGGATAGCATGTCATTCATGAAATGGATATAATAATTTTCTGATCATCGAGAGAAAAAAAAGCGAATTGTTCACATTACCGTGACCGTTTATTGAGGGAGCAATTTGCCACGTGACAGCATTTTGATATGTTTAAATGCACCTTTTACACGGTTCGCTGCATCGCTGCGTGCTACATAAAAAGGCGTGTGTGTGAACTTTTTGAACCTGTACCAGAACCGAATTTTGAATATGAACGAGGTTGTAAAATGCCGAAAGGCTCGAGATCGAGAAAATTATACGAAAATGGAATGGTTTGAACGAAAAATTGAGAGAATGAACTATATTTTCAATATTACTTTAGGTAAAATTGTACCTCTTACTTATTACCATTACGATTGGTTTCATATTGAATACATCGTATTCGAAGTCGAGGCGATTAAAATAAAAAGTAGAGTTTTAAAATTCAAATATGGCAAAAAAAAGAGAATCGAAATAAAATGAGTGCAATTCCTTGAATTAGAAACGGCTTTGAAGCAAAAAACACCTGAGAATCAAATCAAATAAATTGATTTTCTATGGGACTGAATTCGTGTTCGCGACATTTGTATAAATCATCATCGGTTGAAGCGATTTGGTTGGGCTGAATGCATTTCGACACGGTGAACACCGAAGAAGAAAAAAAAATGTTAAAGGGGTCGAATAGATAGACAAACACAGGAAGTAGTTATTGTTAATAATTTTCCATTTAGACTACGATGTCTTCCATTGAATTATATTTTGTCAAATTCACCTGTGACTGACTGAAGTCATAAATAACAACAGTAATCATATAATAGTCATAATTATATGACGTCTTTCATTGATCCCGATTCCATAGACTCACATTCATCGTGGAACAAGTGAAAATACGAATCGCCGAAAAAAATTGAAGCTTTTATGTATTCGTTTGTATGGAATTAAGTCAAAGTTATTTAAACACGCCATGCAACTATAATCGAGAAAAATCAAGAAATCGTAATGAGCGTATTTAAAATGCTCAATGTTGTGTGCACACAAATTGTCGCTTTTCAAATCGTTCCATTCGTCATAAATATATGTGTATATAGATATGTGTTTTGAATTACACACGATTTGATGAGCCGTTCGCGTCAAATCGAATGCGATACGATTGCCATTACAGGATTTGCATTAAAGCGCGAAGCGAGGACGTGTGCGTGCATACATAACATCTAGACGTTTCGCTAGACATTCAATTTTCTTTTGATGCGAAATAAAAAAAAATATAACGAGGAAGGACAGAGATAGCTGGCGCGAGTGTAGTATTGAAGGTAGAGCACCACGATAGAAGCCAGCCACTCAGCTCACGAATATGAACATTTCAAAATAAAAAAAAGATGGAGAGAAGTTTATGAATTTTCTGTCGAATGAAGGAAAATTTATATACATATGATAAATGAACCGTGTTTCCCGAGCACCGTTCCCATTCGTGACTGGTACCGGTGCTATCGATTTTTGATTTCGCTTTTGCCATTGGTCTGTGGTTATTTTCTATGTAGATTTCTTTTTTTCTTTCTTCGTTCCTTCATCGTTTCGGATACTCTGCATTACAAAATTCGACGCAATACAATTTGTATACGCGGTTGGATTTTTGTTTTTCATAGAAAATGCGGAGGATTTTTTTTCGGGTTGTATATTTACTTTATCTTGCAAATTGACTGTGGAATATTATAATACACAATGGACTTTTCGAAATTATTATTCCCAATTCCAAATGCTTTTTCTTCACAATTTGTCATGGCTGTTTATTCACAATTTGGCATAATGTATGTTCATTTATACTCCATGCCATCATGCTCAAACGCATTATAACTTACTCGTGTTTTAAATGACAATGAAGCGAAGAAAAAAAACAGCTTATAGATTTGAGTAAATGTCGCTTTTTGTTAAATTGAAATGAAATACTCACGATATCCAATTGTAAATTCCTGATACAGTTAATTCGCCTTTGTCTTCCAGAGCGTATTCAATCAGTTCGGTATATGTAAATGGTGGCTTTTTTGGTCTAAAACGAAAAACGTAAAAATTCATTGCCATTCGAAGAGAATAGTTTGAAAACTTTTTTTTTTTACTTACAAATTAGCGGGATTTTCGACGACGACGTTCGAATCAGAGTTGGGCGTTTGATCGAATTCAGATGAGGTGGCTTCTTGAATTAGTTTGTCAACCTGTAATCCAGTTTCAGTACGTGATCGATTCACTTCCGGCGAAAGATGAGGCAATTCATTCAATTTGTAATTATATAACCACGATAGATTTTTGTCTTCCGAATCATCGTGGATGGCCGCTATTCAAATAAAATCCAATGTTTTATAAAACAGCTTATCACATATATTTTTCTTCTTCTTTCAAATTTTTTTTTTGATGAGAAACGAATTTTTTTTTTATCAAGAATTTTCTTCACATTTTTGTTTCTTTTTCTATCGTTTCTATTCTTTTCGAATTTATTTACAGTTTCATTGCTTTTCAAACGAAAAAATGTCACCGTCTTTTCATATTTAAATTTAAAAAGAGAAAAACCATTATCTATATTATGTAAATTCGAGAAATATATTTGATCTCTTTGAAATAGTCCGTCACTCGACGTTGAGAAGTTGGCACTTTTCACTGTCTGTTGGCTGACTGATCGAAGTTCTCAAACAAAAATGCCAGCTAAAACCTTGAACACATGGTAACTAAGAAGCAAGATTTTTCAATAATAATTCGAAATGCAATAACAATAACGAAAAATAAAACCAACTAAAATAGCTTCACAGCAAAGTAGAAAGTTTTTTTTTTTAAAAGAGAGAGAATGATCCTGTTACCATGTTAACGTTAAAACAAACTTTTTAACCTAATAATAACAAAGGAAGTTCGAACGTCTCATATTGGGAGGAGAACATGGTGTTTGTTTATAAAAATAATTGAATGAGCTGAATGAGTGGAATTCTTTTTTTATTATGGCTTAATACTCCGGCAAAACTAACGGTTGTTTGTTTCTTCTAAAATTGTATGCATCGATTTCGAAATGTTTTTAAGATTGAAACGTTGATCAAAGACAAGTATAATCAAGGTATGATCGATTACAAGTCTATCTCATTGACCAATTATCGTTTCATTTGTTTATCTGATTGAAAAATCCAATCAAATTTTGTATCTAGCTTCCATCAAAATTCCACGCAATCTATGTCAGAATTACTACTTACGTAAATTGGTTGTGGATGTTTCGTGTTGTCCGTTGTCTGGTTCCGGATAAACATTTTGTACGATTTCATATTCGGTGATGTTGTGTATGTGATTATTCGATAATTGTTCGGTCATTTGAAGATTATGCTGTGATTCACTGTGTACAATTCGTTGCGGATGATGAAGTTGATGATGTGGATGCTGTACATGAATGGATGATACATTCTGTTCGTTGTGCTGTTGTGACAATTGTCCATTCAAATGATTGAGATTAACTGTAGTCGTTGTGTTGCCGTTGGTGGTTTCATGATAGTAGAAATTTCTTTGATCTAGATCTAAAATATCGGCATTGCTCCAATTCGGTTCGAAATTTATGTAATTCGTTTCAGTGGCGACCGGCGCTTGAATGCTTGTTAACAAATCATCTTCGTATAATATATTCACATATTCGATATTTTCACTGATTTCCATTGTGTTGAGCATTTGTGTCGATGGTTGGTGTTGTTGTTGTTGATTGCAATTCACTGAACCATCATCATTCGTATCGTTTCGTTGTTCTTGGTCATTCGATGGCGTTGAAATGATGTACTGTTGATTTGATTGAAAATTATCGTAATTGTATGTGGTCATCGTTTTCTTAGCAATGACACCTTTATCGCTGGTCAAATAATTGGCATACGAATTTGCGTCTTCGTACGGCCACTTTCGTTTTTGTGCCTCATGATGATGACCATTAAATTCAGCAGAACTGTCTTGATTTTTCATGCTTTCAATTTTGTCACAAATTCACTTAACAATTATTTCCAGTCTCAAATCGTCGTCGTTTTTTTTCTTCTTCGAAAACACAGACGTTTTATTCAATTTGAAAACACACAATTCGTTCTCGAAACGATCGCGTAGTATAAACTATTCAATTTGAAATGGGTAAACAAAATTTTCCATCAAATGAAAACTTCATGCTTAAGTTCATTTCCGCGAACTATCTGCTCCAACAAATCGTTTACGACTCAATGTCATGAAATAAAAACTCTGACTGAAAACATTGTTGCCGTTTGATTTCGATATGGGAATTGTGAATGTGCATATCCTTCTGACTTCGAATAGTTTTTTTTTCTTTTTCTTCTTCGTTTTGCTGTTACCGTTTTGGCCTGAATGTGTGTACATGCAATAATCCTGAACGTGCACGAAACGACAATGTGTGTGAGTGAATTTTTTTCTCGTCTCTCTCTCTCTCACTTTAGTTGTTTTTGTCTACAAATACAAATAAAAGTTCATTCATCGTTCAATTTCGTTTTGTAAAATAGAAAAAAAAGAAGAAGAATGTATGCATAAAGCATTCGACCGCGTTGACGAATGCGCCAAAGCATTTCTCCACCTATTCATGCGGAAAATGTACAGAACGAAATTATAAATATGCGTTGTATTTCCATCGCGCGTCTACCACATTTTCACATGGATTGACAATGAATTGCTTGAGCCTACCTAGAACCACCATAAGCCAATATATACACAATACACACCGTTTGATAGGTATTTAAATGAAATGTATTTAAATGTGTACCGTGACGACGATTTTTACAAATTGCTTTTCTTCTGTCTTTCTTTCTCCCGCACTCCTTCATCACATATCCATCATTCGATTGGTTTCGGTCGATGGCAATATCACCTTTCTAACATGTATATATATGCTTTAATTCTTTAAATGGTTTCGAAGTTTTGATGGAAAATTAGAAAATAAAGCATGACTATTGGCTTGGCAGGTGTCATATCAAAACATTTGCCATGCAAACAATCCCCCTTCATTCATTGCACGGTACATTTGTGTACATACTCGATTCGGGTGCCCCATTCACTTGTGAGCGCCGCTCACATTTGATTCGTTTACATATTTAATCATTTGTATAATTTTATTAATTGATATATTTACATTTACAATGATGTTTATGGTTGGTTTTTTTTATTTGCTTATGGTTTATGCCTGTTTATTTAACAAAAGCAGGAGACGACCGTTTTGTTTCTTTTTTGCTATTGCAGACCTACATTCTATTTGATGGAATGAATTTTATAATGTGCCACTGCATGACGCTTCAATATGGTTCGACGAAGTGTCTTCATACAGAAATGTCAATATTTCTTTGAATGAAGCAAACATTTCCATTTTCGTGTGCTTCTTTTTCTTGTTGCACTTTTTCATGAATTGTCTCATCAAAGAATGACGCAGTAGTCGAGCGTTCTTTTCTTTTTTAACTTCTTCAATCTAGATCGATTGCGCGATCAATTGCCGTGCGCGTACATCTTCCGCAATGCAATAAACAAGTCGATAAATTCTTGTGAATTGCTGCATTCGCCGTCCCAATAAGCTTCTTAGCTAAAAATGAAATGTTGATGGCAATATTTAACAGGGCGTAAGAAGTTTTTTCGTCGTAGTGTGTACCTTCTTTTCCGAGAATAACAAATGATACACACATTCCATTCGATAACAGTTTGTTTGTGCTGCATATTTGTGTACTAATGCGATGGGCAATAAAACAAGGTCTATAAGCAATGATGACAGCATACATTTCCATCGATTGACATCGAGACGACGGCAGTCAATGCAATGCGATGCCAAAGAATACTTTTCAAACAAAATGCATTCTTTTTGGTGCCTCTGAATGAACGATGCCGCGCACACTCGCAAAAGCGACGACACATAGAAAGACTTCATCAAAGACGGAAACCTGTTTTTGTTTTATCTCAAATATATTAACTCCCCACACATTCTCTCTCTCTCTCTCTCTTTCTCCAACCGTTGACGGTTTCGTTTGTGTTTCCACGGTTTTTTTCCTTTTACCACATAAAATTCGAGGTTTGTGAAACGAAAATCTACAATTATGATATTCTAATATGTTTCGGTGCATTGTTTGTATGTGGCAAAAGTAACACCGCCGCAGCCCATCTATGAATGCAAAATAAACATAAACACTGTATTTTGAAAAAAAAAAAATGAATGCGCACAATTGCATGCATAAATAAAACGAAAAGAAAAACGCAAAGTGAAGGAACCAAAGAAGAAGAAGAAAAAAGTGGAAAAAGCAGCAAATAAATAAGAAGGTACGGTGCGACCGCGCATCGTTGCGGAAAGCCATAAGATCGAGCGATTTGTGAAGTGAATGTATTGTGTGGTACAAGCGTGCCGTACACCACACGACAAAAATGAATAACCGTTAAAAAGAAATCCCAAGAAGATGGAACACAAACAAACCACAATCTCTTGGTATTTGCTGTACCTATGAGCTGCTGCCGCTCACAATACGACACGACACAACCACATTCCGATAAGCAAGCACCGCGCGATGTCGTTTGGCCAAACAAACACCGATCCAATGCACACCATCTCCACGTAAATATTTCCAAACGTGAACGAGTGAGTGTGGTGGATTTGTTGTTTTCTCTCTCACTCTCTCTCGTTCTTCATCTTTATGCCGTCGCTAACGCGCTATACCCTACGCTATGCATGTTGCTTGTCTCCGGCGTAAAAACCGTCCATTCTGCTGAAATCCAATTGGATTTTTAGTTCGTGCAAACACTTCAAGGCGCGCACAAATAGATATTGGCCGTCTTGCTGAATGGATTTTTCTTCTTCTTCTTCTTTGCTTTGCTTTTAGTTTGTGGTTTCAATATTTGTTGTTCAGTTCCATTCAATTTGAACTTTTTTTTTTCATTTTATTGCATTCCAAACAGACATGTTGACCAAGTAATTTCGTTATCGTGCACGTTACGGGATTGTATTTATTTCGAAATAAAATTGTAACAACATTTTTTTTGTTATTGTTTTTTGGGTGTTGTTTTTGGTTTCTTTTAAATTTCGAAGTCGAAGTGATTAAATCGACAACATTCACATTCATCAATTCAAGTGATATCTTCTATCCGACAACTGTGTGTGTGGATATAAAAGTCTTGAAAAGCACATTCAATTTCATCTCGAAATGATCAAGAACCGGAAATAAATGCAAGAGAATTGAGACGATTAAAAGAGACTGTCGTGCGAATTTAATCTTTGTTGACAGTGGTGGCTATGGGAAGCAGCAGTTGCAAGCTTGTGTTAATAAGTTCACGACGTTTTTCTGTCTTTCGTTGTATTAGTGAAGTTCTTTAACGTGATTATAATAGAATATTAAACCGACGAGCAATTTACAGCGAATTGTTAGCGAAAGAGACGAAAACAATTTAAAATACAGGATTTTGAATTTATAAAAGTGATAATATTAATAAATATACACAGAGATTGTATTCGAATTTTGGATTAAAGTATCATTCTTCGTCATCAAATAGCAAAGTGAGTGTTGGAATGTATCTTTTCTCAATTTCAAGTTTCTGTCGTTATGGAATGTGCAAAGAATGTAACTTTTTTTTTTCTTGCATTGATATAGATATTATTTAAATTATCACCATCATTATATTCACATGCATAATGTTGTGACTTAACGTGCATGTACCGTTGCATTGCATTTAACAAATCAATTTTGTTTTTCATGCTCGGCTCATACTGAATGGTTTGTGAGAGTTAAAAGTAAACGCGCTCGCGCGCTTGCACATACATCCACTTAAAATGTGTTCACATTAAATCAAAAGCAAGAAAGAAGTGTGTTGCATTGAGATGAATGGCATGCAGAACCCTCCACCACAGTGCAAAAATGGAAACAATTGAATTTTCTGTGTGTGTTCAAATGGGACAGTTTAATTAGTGTTATTAAACTAGTTAGAGAGGCTTAAGCCTGACTCGGTTAACCGATGTTGTGGCGTGTGCGCCAGAAGCCAGAAGTCGAATAAGACACATAACAAATAATCTCCATGATATTATTATTGTATTTTAAATGTATTAAATTAAAATCCGAAAATGTGAGAGAGAGCTGCTCTGTGGCGAGCGAGCAAAAGAGCCATGAATATTGATCTCGTTGAAAATTTTGCACACCCATTTTAGTTCGAAGGCCAAACAAACCAACGCGTTTCTAAACAACCAAATCACTTAGTGTTGTTTTGCCTCTTTCGCTGTTGTTTTTATTTCACAGTTTATAAAAGGTAAAACGTGTCGTGCATATTGGTTCTCTATTTCTTTTTTTTTTTTTTTTTTGATGCGGAAAATAGATACGGTTGCTGTAGAGACATACACACATAAAGAGAGTAGTTATGGTTTTGACAACAAATATTGGTTCAGTCCTTTAATTGGCGACTCCACGTTCACAAAGAGTTCAATCGTGCAGCCGCAAGAGTTACATTGAACGGTGGCAGCTGTGCACAGTTTATAGAAGAAAAAGAAAACAACGCAGCCTAATGATTTCAAATTCAAAACGAGAAATATTATTAATAAATTATACTTGATTAACGTTGAGAATGAAAAATAGACAATATTTTTTGATTCATATTTTCTGCACACACTATACAAGAATCGCCGTTCTCGTTGAGCCAATTTGAAGTGATTTTTTTTGTTCGTTTCGTGTTTTTTTTTTCGCAAATTGATTCTTAGAATCGAATTTTGTCGAAGGGGTCAGATGCGGGGTGAACGGGGCAGGCCAATGTGTTTGCGGCAATAAATTGGCCGGATTTGGTGATTTGTGCGTTGAAAATCAATATATATAGATGTATTTTATATTATTATTTTTAATTTCATATAAAGTGAAAATGTAACAATAATTCGACCTACTTTTACCATTATCTGGTTGTGCACCATTCACTCAATTCATTGAAGAACTAGCAAACGAATCAATTTGAGAAATAAAAACAAAGCAGATACAGAATATAAGTTCATGTACTGTGTGCGCGACTGAAGCACGGCCAATGGATGGAAGAGAGGCAAAAGAATGAAAAGAGAAGACAAAGAGCGAAAAAAAATTGTGTATTTTTTCATATTCAACAACAAAAATATATATACAACAGACCTACAAACGAAAAAAAAAAAACAGAATTGAATTGTGTGGTACTCATAGTCCGTATGTGTACAACGGCGTCGAAAAATGCGAATTGCATGTGCTGTACAAAACATGCGCGCAAAGCACTTACCATTTAGACTTGTTCTCCGCGCAGTTTCGTGCAGATAAGTATTCATTATTGAAACGTCCGCATCACATTTATGAAATGAAGCAAGGAAATGAATACGTATGCTGTACATACTCGTGCATCAGCAGCACCAACAACAACAGCATTCGATTTCTTGTTGTTTTTTTCGCGTTGTTGCTGTTATCTTTCGCATTCTCCCTCGACTTTCCTGCCGAGATGCGTATGAGCGATTTGAAAGCGTACGTTTTGGTGATTTTGGTTGCGCTTGAAATATTTCAATATCAGTTGATTAACTTATGCATGCATTGATGTAGATCAATGGTCTCTTTTTTTCTACGTAGATAATTTTTTTCCACTGCGTTTCGCATCGAATGCAAAACAGTCAATATTATAATAAATCCAGTCCCTAGACTTTCATGATAACTCATTGTGGTTACTTTCTCCAGACACAATCGGAATAAATTACGCTCGTTCACTCAGTGATCCATCTTTTCATTCCAATTAAACATGCTCTGATAGCATTCCCTGACCAGCGTGCAGTGTGTGCGCGTGAAAAAAGCGAAAATTCTCGCTTCGTCCCATCATCAAGAACGCATACTCTTCGGAAAAAAAGGGAAATCTATCTCAATTCACATAACGGTACACAAACCACGATAATCCGTTCCGATTCCCACGGAATTTTTTTTTTTTAAATATTTAATTTCTTGTTTCAATCGCGGCAGACATTTCGGAACTATTTCATTTTTTCTACCGTAGCCAGCACGAGCGTGCACCAATTCAATTCCATTTGTTTTGCTGCCAATGATATCTTAAAATTGTTGGTAATTAACTCGAAAATTCACACTGATAAAATCAGCAGAAAATTTACAGAAAAAAAAAACATGTACAACTTGCTACCGCACAGTAAACAAACGAAACCGGAAAGACTCATTTCATACTCATGCCAGAGAAGCAAAACGAACAGAAAAAAAATATAACCTTTTCGACTACTACTAAAAACACATTAAAATACAATGCGTAGTACATAATAATACAAAATTCTATATCTGCTTTATTACTTTCTATTCTTCGGCTATTTCGAATGAAACGAAAGATATAACTTGTTGCCTCTCAGCCATCAAGATGAACACATCTCTCATTTAATTACTAAAACAAATTTTCGAATTCGATTTTTGTTCCATTTCGTTGAGTCACTCAGTGCCCAGTGCCCCGGGAAGAAACCGTTTTGCTTGAATATTTGTTGCTTTTTTCCGTTGTTGTTTGTTTGAATAGATAGAATATGTATGCCGAACCGTACGGCGTTGAGATTTGTGTGTCAGAGTCATAAAAGCATTTTACAGAGGCTACGAAAATAGCAACTCATTTTTTCTATACTTCTTTTTCTATGTTTGCCGTGGAAATGAAAAGTGGCGAATAGACAAGCAAAACAAAATTTAGAATGAGACAATGGTTTAAAGCTTAAGAATCGAGGAATATAATGACATGTTATCTATTGTGGTAGACACACGGTGGTCAACTATGAATGGGAAAAATGGCCAAATTTATGTTCACATTCCATACGGGCATATGCGATGATTGAAGGCTTTTTGCATACGATTACAATCGAAATTGGTCTTGAATTACATTTCTCTTTTTTTTTTATTTCAAAACGCCATGCTCACTCGCAATGTGCTAAATATACATTTGTTTCGTTATTATTGTAATTTTAAATTCAACGAGCTTGAACAACAAGTTTTCGACAAATACGACCAACCGCAAAAAGACACGATAACATGAACAAATATAGGCATAGACGCACAATTGCTTTTGAAGTTTTTTCGGTTTTGGTTTTCTTGCCATGCAAACCGTTTTCTACCTGTTGGCCAAAAATCAAGCCTGAAAAACGTCAATCGAAGGGAACATATGCACACATAAAAGAAGAAACACGATGTATGCTGCAATTGGCGAATGAAAGCGCTTCACAATATTTTATTATTGACTATAAACATGTTTAAAGAGAGTTTAATGGCATATTTCAAGTGCACATTCATCTTTTTGAAAAGAGAGCGAGAGAGAGAGAGCGAGAAAAAGGCAAACTTTTTATGTGCACCGATAAAAACTTGCTGATAGTTCGTTTAGCACGAATCCACCAGACACATATGTTGAATAAAATAAAATGCGGGTACACCAACCGTGCACATTCGATTCGTACGCAAGTACATTTCAGTAGCTCTGCGCTGCTTATGCGCTGAAGAGTGAGAGAGTTGCATCGATAATTACACTATTTCTACATCGAAACACGAAGAAAAGGGAAATTATATTTATTTACAGATTTTTGATTCGCTTATTTTGCTGCGTGTATTATTTTCTTTTTTTTTTGTTGTTGTTGTTCGGTGCTTCTTTTTCTTTTTCCCCGCGCTCATTTTTCACCTTCTATCCGTCCGATGCAAGGCGCGAGAAATTTCATATTTAACAGCAATAAATACGTTTACAGCGTAAGATTAAAAAAGAAGAGCTTTATTGGCCCTATTTTGGTGTTCATTGGCTGCATCGGATGCCTGAATTTGCGTGATTTATACATGAAATACAGTTCCGCCTACATTGTGCTTGCAAAAACTAATGTGATTGTTATCCAAAAAAAGCAACAAAAAATTTCACTTTGATCACGTTTGCAAGTAGATTGTGAGTACGTGAACAAAAAAGACAAAAGCAATGAAACAAAAATTGTATAAAATACAGGTTCAAATATTATTAAAAACCCGACCGTGCGATCGTATGTAAGAGGTTCTTCTTGTTAGATCATCTTTTCAAATATATTTATACAATTTCTTCGATCCGATCTTCTCGCACAAATTCAATCGATTCACCGTGTTGATGCTGACGGTGCGTTCGTGTTAATTTCAAGTGAATCAACGTTTGTCTGCTCTCGTGTTTGATATGAATAAGGCAGACATGGATTTTTATTTTTCTATATTGAGAAAAGCATGTAAAACATTTTGTTCATCATGATGGTTCAGCGGCTATCGTGCGATCATCAATGCGATGTTGATGATGAAGAGTAAACCGGTTTTTATGGGGCAAATGTTTCACTTATTTAAGATTCTTCTTTATCAATTAAAGATTGCTTGTTTGCACTCTCAGATAGACGTCGCATGGGCATACGCACACTTTCTGATTGAAACTTTTTTCCTTCTTCTTCGCTTGGTCGGTGTTTTCTGTCGAAATGAATCCCTGAATTTATTACATAGGCTTTTCGAAACTGCACACTCTCGTGGTCGTCTGTTTCTTTATAAATTGAATCGA